TGAGGGATTGCCATGCCGCTGCCTTGGTTGCGTATTCTGACATGTAGGTGAATGCACCTCCTTCTAAGTGCAGCAGGGCCATGGTAATCTTGCATTCATCATCGTTGATCTCATTCCACTGCATCCATATGCCGAGTTGTTGGAGCCAGTCCTCCAGACTTCCTTTGCCTGAGTAGTGTGGAGGTTCAGCTATTGTGATGCAGGGATGGTGGGGTTGGACTGTGCCAGATGTCTGACCTTGCGTCACTGAGACGCCGCTTGCTTTGAGTGAAGCTAACTCATGACGAAGCTTGGTGTTCTCGTTCCCTACTTCCATCAATTTTTTGCCTAGTTCTAGCATGGCTTGCTGGGTTCCCATAAGTTCATCTGTCATTACCATCATGTGGTCGTTTTGAGCCTTGATTTGGTCTGAAAGTTTCTCATTTTCAGACTTGAGTACAGCTTCTTTGAGGCATCGTTCTGTTTGTGCTGATGCAATTGAGGCCTCAAGAAGTCATTTATGCTCGTACATCTTGTCACCGAGTACGTTGTACATTTTCTTCAGCTCATTGTCGACTATAGATTTCATAACGATGATTACCCATTCACGAATATTGTCGGGTATTTCGCTGGGCGCGGACTGTCTAATGGCATCTTCAAGATGCTCATATTGGTGTCTGTCGAAGGACCATGCAGGTGGAATGTATGTGGGCATGAGAGATGGTGTTGGGGATGATGGTCCTCCAATTTGCGATGTGGAGTCTCCTGGCTGGAGCTCTGGTAATGGTTGTCTGGAAGCACATAGTGTACTTCCATCATGTGTCTCAATGTTTGGTCGGAGCATGTCTTCCATTTGCTGCTGGAAAGTGGTCATGCGTGCTCGATTGACATTTGACATTGTTACGTGAGTAAAAAGGTGTATATGTTTCTAATTAAAGATGAACCCTAGATATTTTTTGTCTTTAACTGCGCACACTCCCTTAACGATCTCATTCAACCGCTGCTATTTCCCTATCTCCTTGAAGTTGATCCTTCCTATCTCCAAGCAGCACGTGTTGATGACCTGTTTCTCGATAAAGGAATATTGCTGAGTTCCTGTGTAGAGGTCTGCGCAGACCTTATCGAGTTCTGCAGCGAGGAATTGTACTTTCCTTTGCTTCTCCTGATCAGTTATCTCCCAAAATGCTCCGGCTAGTAGCAGCTGGAGCCTGAAGCGAGTAGCAGATACCTGCTTTCTGAGTGTTTCGATGTGGAGAGTGGGTCTGATTTTCAATGGAAGGGGATGAATGGGTCTTGTGCTGATTTTTTCGAAGTTGGGGATGGGTCGCACTGGCTGTGGGGTGACAATGGTGGGAGGAATAGCATTACTGGTTACGATTTCAGGGGGAGGCTTCGGCTTGCATCTGCCTGTAGTAAGGCAGCCGGCTCTGGGGCTTGTAGCATTCGAGCGGTGGGGTGTGACTATGAGGGCAGCAGATAATGCCTTGCACCCTGATATGAGTGGTGTCAACTACCCTGGCTGCTGCGCGCTGCCTGTCTGTGGATGAAGTGCCTAGGGATGCTAAAGTGAGGAGCCTTCTGCACTTCTGGTTTGTCTCCTGATGCTTGTAATGAGCATATGGGTCTTCTGCCCTGATGGCCTTGCGCTTTGACACCTTGGGCTGCTCAGTGTCTTGCTGAGGCTCACACCAGATAGAAGTTGGATTGAAATGTGTGCCAAAAAAGCCGTGCACTATGGCTGAAACTGCTTGTGCTGAAAATATGTGGCCGCTTGTGTTAAACACTAAGCAGGGGTGCAAAAATTGTCAGATTGTTTCTAATGTCACAGCGACACTGGACAAGAGATCAAAAAGACTAAAAAAGGACAAGTCACATAGAACGTGCTGCCCTGATCCCCCTGATGACCCCTGAAGGTGGCTAAAGAGCCTAACACTCACTGGCTTTGCAGTAATGTGTATGGAAAGATGATTGATGTATAATAGAGCTTGTGAGCTCAGTGGTCACTACAGTAGTAGATGAGGAGAAACAATCTGAAGTTTCGTCCTCTACATGCTGGTCTTATATATACATACAGGACGGGCTGCTTACTACTGCTACTTTACCAATCCAGAACAAGATCCTGCTGACTACTACAGCATTGGTCAAGTCCAGAACAAAAGGCCGTATACTCGTGTGAGCGAATCTATTCTAATACGTACTAGTACAGGAATGTCTCTGTGAAACAATAAGGTGAAGAGGTTCTTCCTCGTAGGATTCAAGCAATGCTATGGGGAATCCCTGGGCTTCTGTGACCTTTCCTTATTGTGATAATGGCTATTCATTGAGCTGATTGCCTAGACAATCTATATCAATTGTCCTTGTTCCCAACATGGACGCCCTTGTGTTCCCTGAAATAGACTGGTCCGACTGTGTCATCTGTAGGTCTGGACCGTAACATGTGATGTGGACTATCACCTGACCTCTACGCATCACATCTGTGGCTGAGTGACATGAGATATTGGTGAAGCACGTGATCTGTGGCATGGGTAAAGTCACATGCAGACTTTTGTGGTGAAAATCTGTGACATATACCTATATATGAATAGCTCCACAAAATGGACTGGCTGCTCAAGAAATTGATGTGGATGCTAGAGTTGTCAACCCAGATTACATGGGAGAACTCAAGGTCATACTGATCAACACAACAGATTTCATATTTTCGGTCAAACCATGAGACAGGATAGCCCAGATAATCTTCAAACGTTATGCTGAAGGGCTTCCCTCCAAAACTTACTGACCATTATGAGCAACTCAAAGGAGAAATAAAGGTTTTGGCTCCTCGGGACAATGAGCCTTGAGAGGGGGATAATGTCACAGATTTTTGCCACAAAGTCTGCATGTGACTTTACCCACACCACAGATCACGTGCTTCACCAATATCTCATGCCACCCAGCCACAGACGCATGCGTAGACATCAGGTGATAGTTCACATCACATGTTATGGTCCAGACCCACAGATGATATGGTCGGACCTGTCTATTCCAGGATACAATAGAGGCACCCATTTGGGAACAAAGGGAATAAGGACTATTGTTAGGGATCATCTAGGCAATCAGCTCAAGGAATAGCCGTTACCATGATAGGATGGATCGTCTCACCATTGTTACGGATGAAGACAGATCTTCTCACCTATTGTTCTACTTACAGATGGATCTTTCTATGCATTGTTCTGTGTATAGCTTAGTTGCATAGATATGTAGATAGCCAATAGCATGTCTCATAGTAGTCAGCACCTATACACGTTAATGCATCCGTGGAGCTCCTGGCTTCGTGCTACTCCAACACTAATCTGGGGTCCACTGTGTAGGGTGTATGTGGGGGACGACTTTGGCGAGGGTTTGCTGTGAGCTGGTTTAGTGACTTGAAGCTACTGGCAATAGAGATGGGTAATGGGTTGGTAATGGACTGGGGTAGTATGCAGGTGCAGCCAACAATCGCAAGATTGGCAAATGACGGTGTGGGCAGCCAATATCGAGCCTTGGGAAAGGAACTAGAGTTGTGTGAAAAGGAAAGGCTGTATTTGGAAGGGGCTCCAAGCGTGGGACCATCGAACTTGATTGCAAATGTGTTTTGATCGCAGCGAGGTGGAGCGGAGCTGACCGTATATGAGATGCTGATCGGAGGATGGCGGGGAAGCTCGGTTAAGTCCGATGTGCGAAGATCCTTGGGCCAACTACTATATTTGGGATGAAACCCATGGTCTAAGGCTAGAAATGGCCTGGAGCTGATCGGAAGTGCGATATTGTCACAAGAAGGCAGGTCGGACCTGATCGTATATGCATTTCTGATCGGAGGGTGTCGGAGCGCTGGTGTCTAAGCCAATGAGAGCGAGGCCTCAGACAGGTTCTGAGGAGTCCTGGAAACATAGGGCTGAAAGGGGTAACTGAGTGATGTAGCATGGGAGTGTGTTGGAATATCTTCGGTTGCTAGGTGGGCTGGGCCTGATGATGTAATGATGATGAAGTGTGCTGTGATTGGTGCTGGGACTTAGCTGAAACTGTGAGAATGTGCCTAGTGACCATAGCTAAGGCAATAGAAAAGAGCTGATGGCCAAGAGACGAAGTGCTAAGATGTACGCTGTGGGCTAGGAGACTCGAGCTCCTCCCAATTTGATTGTTTTGGTATGTACATGTGGTAGGCTTATATACCGCCCTAGCAGGCCACCGCCGAGAGTTTGCCTGCTTGGGTGATTAAACTAGGTATGGTAAAAGAAAGACTGAAACGAGTAAGATATTAGCTGAAACTTGCAACATAATTGTATTCCTGTTTGAGATACCGGACCAGACCGTTAACACGTATCAAAACACGTTTCACCCATGCTGACTTGGCTGGGCAGTCTTCACGCATCTTCGCCATGATGGCGGTCCTTTGCCCCAGTCTTCTGGGTGCCTACTGCCTGATGCCATTGCTACCGCTAAGTCCACTGAGCCTTCTTGCGTTCAGAAGTGTCGGCATAGCTTTAGGATGGCCGAGCCTTCCCACGATGCTTTATTTCCGCTGCCTCGTGGTGAATGACTTCCACGGTGGCAATAGCATGGACTGGCTCGTCACCTTGCCGGCCTAACTTTGCCAAAATCAGGGTCATTCTCGTGCTTCTGTCGGTTAGCCACTCTCGCCATGCATCACCTCCTTCCCACTATCCTTGAACCATCCTCGGTCCCCACCAAGACTTAAATTTCCGCAGCTTGCCCTTGCCTCCGCCAGTTCCTTTGCTTTTCCACCATGTCGCTCATCCCCCCTCCTCGCCTTCTTGGTCCGTTCGTATCCGTCGCCGACACATCTGCCCTTGGTGATACTGTGCTGCGATGCATCTGTCAACTTGATGCATTAGCTGTCCATCCTCCACGTGCTGAGGCCCCCTTTGCCGAGTGGGAGGCCTGGTGCCACGAGTTAGCTGGGTCCTATGTGCATCGCTATGTCATTGCTTTCCTTTTGCCTTACTAATCTGAGTAATGGGTAGGCAATGCTGGGCAGCCTTCGTATGCCCGCAATCCGAGATGTCTGGCTTTCTGTGCTGGATTGGGTAGGGGTGACTGCCAATCCTGCCTGGTCCACACTTTGGGGTGACTTCATTCCGGCTGGCTTCCTATTCACCTCACTTGGTGTTCGCTCTACTGCCGGCACCATGCTGTCGCTTCCACAGGCTCACTCGCGCTTCGAGGACATTATCAACGTGATCCTTGCTGGTACTCTTACCTGCAAGAAGGCGCAGGTGCAGGTGGCTAGCCAGCTGCTGACCTTTACCGCAAACTGCACTATTGTTGACTGTCGTGACCCATCATTTCTTGGCTTCACCCATCCGCTCCTTGTTGGCTGGGACGCGGCTTTGTCTGCATTAACCGCATCGCTTTTCATGCCTTTTCCTGTTGCTCTTCCCTCTCTAGCCGCCACTGCTCCGAGCATTCCTGTGGAGAAGACCCACATTGCCGACACCCCAATGCAAGAAGACTTTAACCTAATTAAGGTGTCGCGGGACCAGGTTGAGAGCGAGCGTGAGTTCAACACTACTGTTGAGGGGGTGAAGTCTGCCAAGGAGGCGCGAGGCCTTAAATGTCCCTCGGAGGAGTCCATGCCTGGACCTTCCCCTCGTGTGTGCGTGGAAGGGGCTCAAGCCTTCCTCGACTACCTCGATAACATAGGCGGAATGTCCATCTGGCAGTATTACGCACAGTTTGGCAAACTGTGGGGTATCACTCATATGAGTAGTTCGACCTTTGCCGTGCTGGTCCGCTGCTGACTCGCTCTAGTGTACGTCGTGCAAGGATGAGAGTTCCTGCATCGTGATGCCTCCTGGCAAGGCTTGTCTGTGCTGCTGTATGAGCAAAAAGGGGTGTTCATTGAATACGAACATGGGCGTGGGGCTTCCTGCGGTGCTTTGCCAGTTTGGTACATTATTATCGACACGACGCTTGCACTGGCTGACTTTCTTTCACAGTTGACCTGCACACCATGCTAACCACGATCCAAGGTGGCTTCAACACGTCCGCTATTCCTCCCGCTGCCCTTGGAGAGATTGCAGATCGTGAACGCATCCGGCTTGCATGTGACATGCAGCTGACCTATGCCTGGTTCCTGGAGCCGGAGTCTTTGGCGATCAATACCAAGACCCTGGGTGGGCCCGTTGCAGCGGTGTTGTCTCCTGTCACCTCTGGTAGCACCGAACCCATCCTTTAGCTCTGCCGTAGCCCTGCCATAGTGGCGCGAGTTGGCCGTATGCCAAAATGGCGTTTGTACTGGTAGCTAGTTGTCCTTTTATTGCCTGCTTGTCTGTCATTGGCCTTGTACAAATATATCGTGTTACTGCCATGTCTCTTGCATATAGAGGCCTGAATGTGCCTTGCCCAATTGGCTAGACCATGCCGTGGTCAACCCTTCCTGAATGACTTATTCTTTGCGTGATCCTCTTGCCATTTCGAACTCCGCTACTCAGCCTGCATAACTGGGTGTGGATTGGCATGCCCGTCCTTCACCTCATTCGCCTTTCATCCATCATGACCACCCCTTCTCCTCTGAGTCCTCCAACAGCTGCTCCGTCACCTGTTGCTGTCGATACCCCCACGTTGGATTCCTCTATGACTGTTACTTCCGATCCTGCACTTGTGGCACCTTCGAAGACCATCGTGGCCCCCAAAGTTCCTCCCTTAGAGACTTTGGCCAGTGCCCTCTTTGACCGTATTCAAGACCTTTGCAGTAGCCATTCATTCAATGCTGCCGCTCGTGACACAGCAGGCCAGCAGTTGCTGGGTTCAATGGTACACCCTTCCTTTCTGTCACCTGCTATCCTGGCTCAGCGGAGCTGCCAGCATGTACTGCACGAGACTCCCGAAGGCCCTCTTTGCCTAGAACCCTTCCAAAAGGTCATTCAGTCAATTGCAGACCGTGTCTCTACTTCGGGCTGACTAAAGTGGGACATGGAGTTGTTGTCCGAGGGCCGCAAAGAGGCCCTGATGCAAGAGCTTGCGATGGTGCGCCTGACCGCATTTGGATTTTCCCTCATTTACTGATTCTCATTAGGTCGATTCTGAGCCCGAGGAGGCTCCGTGAAGTGCCCAATGCCAAGGACACCAGCAAGTTCATCGTTCATGAATGCCGTTTGAGGCAGATATCGTCGAGGAGATTGTCGACGGACCCCCTACTTCCCCAGAGTCTATTCCTGCAGATGACAAGATGGTTGACGCTGACGAGCCCCAGATGGATGAGTTGGAGGGTGAGAATGAGGTGGATCCTCCATCTCCGAAGCAGGTTAAACCTGGTACATCCTTCGTTATCCCCCGCCCTTTGCTATGCCTGACTTGGGTGATTATCCAGCACCTTCGATGGCCAAAACCCCTTCGTCTAAAACTCTTGTCGACACTCACCTTCACAATGTTACCGTGGATGCCATCGACTCTTAGGGCATGATACATCTTAAGAACAGCATGCTCATCTCCCAGAACCAGGTGCTGCAGAGCTGACCCTCCTATCGCGACCGCTCCTTGTCTCCTGACTTTCTCCCTCGGTGGCGCGCACCGCAAAGCCACTGCTTGGTACTCCATTATGCCTTTCTCTGACTGGCCCAACTGATTTGCCTTCTAGTGCCTTCACTGCTTCTGCCATGTCGAAGAGCTGTTACATGACGGAGCTTGAACCCATCTGCCGCAAGTGCGTGCATTCCAAGTCGAAGTGCCATTTCTGGGCCTGAAAGGGCATTCCCAATCTGCAAGACTTGAAGGGTTGGCTGCCCCTTCATGACTTCTATGAGCTTCAGGGCTGGCCCTCGCCAGATGAGCCTTCTCCAGAGGAGCTGCATGAGAGTCGCACGGCGTTCAGAGACTACGATGAACAAATCCGTGCCCTCAACAAGCACGGCGTAGGCGTAAAAGGTGCTATGGAGGAGCAGAAGGCCTTCCGCGAGGGCCGACATGTACCTCGTTGTATTGTTCTGATGCACGGCAAGCCGCCCGTACTCGGGGAGTTACCTGCCCATGGCCAGCTCTCCTTCCTTGTTGCTGATGCGGTCGTAGCCCCGACTGTCTCCTCCTCAACTGCTGGACCTTCCGCATCCACTAGCATTGCCTTTGGTCTTCCGGAGGTGGAGGAGGTTAAGCCCTTGACCACTAAGGCAGGTTGTGGTGTAAAGCGCTCGGGCTCTATGGAGGGTGAGCTCGATGCTCCTCCTGCTCGTCGTTCACATCGTGCTCTATATAACGCTCAGTCCAAAGCATCGTCGTCTGGTGCGTCCGTTAAGAAGGAGGTCAAGGAGGAAGTCAAGGAAGAAGTCAAGTCCGAGCTGGAAGACATCAAGCCCGCCTCATCCTCTCACTCCATGCCTGCCAGACGTGCCACTGCTACACCCTCTGGTGAGGTTCCGTTCGTCTCCGTCCCTCCAGCTCCATCCCCAACTCATGCTTCATCAGTTACGTGATCGGCAGCTGCTTCTGCCTCATCCAATTTTGTGGAATTTGCCGGTGTCATGGTCAACCAGGACATGCTGTCTGATGCCATTGCCAACCTGTTTCGTAAGAAGTGAGAGTGATTGCATGCTGGAGTCCATTGCGCTGTGCCTCGTGGTTACTTGCATTAGCCTGCCATGTCATTGTACAATGTAGTCTGCTTGTTCTGAATATAGTTGCTGCTCCGCATTAGTGTGCCCGTAAATCCTTTAAGAAAATGAGATGAGAGTGATCTGTAACAATATTCACAGTGGCCGATACACAAGAGCATGGCCAATTAGTCCTCTTCTTCCTCTTCTGACCCTTGCCCTGCTAAATCCTTACTTTCCCCTTCTCCAGGCTCTTCTTCTTCTTCCTCCAGGTTCCCGGATTCTTCTGCTTCTTTCATCTCATCTAGCCACTTCTGAGAGACATCCAATACTTCTTCTGGTACCGATATCTGCTTGCGCGCAATGAATGGTATTACTCAGAAGGCTGCCACTGGCCTGTCCAAGACTGCTCCATCGAGTTCTGCTAGTACGTAAGCCCCACCTCAGTTGCGTAGAATTACCACATAGGGTCCAATGTATCTGGGCCGCATCTTGCAATTGAGAGATTTCTCAATTTTCATGTGTCGGACCAGTACCAAGTCTCTGCGGCTAAAGTCGAAATCGCAGATCTTTGCGGAATGGTCCCTTTCGAACTTTTGTGCAGCTTCCCTTCTAGCTCCGTAGACGGCGTTATGAATCTTCTCTACTTGCTCTCGACGCTTCTGTAAGGCTTCAGCCCATCGCGCGATCAGCTCCGTGGTAGATATCATCGAAGTTGGTGGTGGTAGGAGGTAAGTGGCTTCAACTATGTCCATTGGTAGGATTGGCTGCATTCCTGTGACTGCAAAGTACGGCGAGCACCCCATGCGACGCCTTGTAGTAATTCTTTCGGACCAAAATACAGAGTGCACTACTTGGCTCCAGCAGTGTTCTTTGCCATCTGCAGCCTTAAACAGGCCTTGTCATACATCAAAGTGAGGCCTTTCAACTATTCCATTGGCTCGTGAGTTGTAACCGCTGATCTGAATGTGATTGACGTGGTACTTTTTGGATAGATGAGCTGCAGCTTTGACGAAAGGTGCACCATTATCTGTCACGAGCTCCGAGAGTGCACCCCATCGACAAAGTATGTCCTCGAAGATCCAGTCTGCCAGGGCCTTAGCTAATGCATGTGAAATTCTGGGTAGTGCATAAGAGAACAACGCCCTTGTACAATGTACTTGAACCTGTTGCTGGACGACATGTGCATTGTGTCGATGTAAATTTTGGCAAATACTGATGCCGGACTCATGACGATTGGCGAAATCGAAATCTGCCATACTTGTCTTTGCTGGCAGAGCAGGCAGCTATGCACAAACCATGCTATGTCTGCTCCAATATCCGGCCACCAAAATCATTCTCGGACCAGAGCCTTGGTCGCAAAGATTCCTCAGTGCCCTAAGTCATCATGCGAGGCTTGCAAGATGGCCATTTGCTGCTCTGGCCATACGACGACCCTATGCACCCCTTGTGAATCCTTTCGCCATAACTTGCATTCTCGAATAAAGAAATGTACCGCATAGCGTACGACCTTCTCGTATTCTTTGTCTGTCCAACTGGCAGGTCTTTGCATATCTCCCAGCCCTTGGTAGACATGTTTGACTAGTAGGTCTGACTTCGTGGCTCATTCAGATCGTGGAACATTACTATAGCCATCCGATGGGCTCGAATCTGTGGTGGGTATAGCCGGGTCGGAGCTGGTCTGAACTTGTGTGGAAGACACAAAAATCAGCCATAAAGTGCTGCGTATATCCTCCCCACTAAAATACTGACTATCCCCAGTCAGAAGTGTGTGCGTGAGTGGATGAGAGGAACTGAGTAAGACGCAGTGCATAAAACCGTGAAGTCGGTCGATCCAGTCTTTGAAGCCATCATCGTCCTCAGTAGGCGGCAAATCATCGGGCTGGACTGACCTCCGAGATAAGCCATCTGGACCATGTTTAATGCTGGGGATGTGGACCAGCTTAAAGTGGAACAGTAGAATGGACATGATCCACCTGTTAATGCTTGCGCTGGGGGCGAGATCTGGGTTTTGAAGCATTCCCTTGATGTATCTGGCATCAACTTCGATGATGAGGTTTCGGACACCAATCAGATACATCTTCAGAGCATGCAGCATGCGATACAGTCCATAAAGCTCAAGCTTGGGTTGAGAGAATCGACCTTCGTGAGCATTAAGCGTGATAGACCCAAAGCGATTGTAGTAGCGCTTCTTTGGGTCTTCCTCTGAGCATTGGCACAATTGGTACCCAACCGCTATCATGGACATGTCAACGGCTAAAATAACTGGTGCATCCGAGGAGCAGTTGATTGCTCACAACGCAGGAGACTGCAAGAGAGCCTCTTTGAGATCTGCCATGGCCTGGAGTTGATCCTGGCCAAACTCGAATGGTACACCTTTTCACATAAGTTGGACCAGCACATGCGCACATTTGGCAAAGTTCTTAATAAAGATCCTTGCCACACCAATAGTGCCTAGAAATGCTCGGACTTCTGATAGGTCTTTGCAAGGTCCCCAATTGCACACCGCTGCAACACATGATTCATCTGGGAGTCGTCCTTCTGGTGTGCATCGGTGGCCAACAACCATAATCTCCGGGCTGCACAGCGCTAACTTTGTCCCCGAGAATGTGCCGCCCACGTACTCCATGTGTTGTACTATGCAGTTGAGGTTCTGAAAATGCTCCCAGATGAATCTGCGTATGCCGGAGTTCTCTGGAATTGTCTCGAACATCCCATCTGACTGCTTGTACTGCGAGGCTGGCCCCTTGACTGGCACATCATCGATGTAGGGCACAGTAAACTCTGGGATCTCTGATTGAAGAATGTACGTGATGTCATCATGAAAGATTGGAACTGAGTTCGTCCAGCCCATTGGCAAGGTTATAAGTCGGAGTGCGCCGAAGGGGGTCTGAAATGTTGTGAGGTCTTGGGAGGATTCTGCAATTAGCCGTTCATCATAGCCGATGTATAAATCCAGCATTGCCCCACATGCGCATCCTCTGAATTGTTCGGTGAGGTGCTCTGGGGTTGGGGTAACTCCGAATTGTTATGGCATTAAGTGGTTCTAGGCTGTGGACCAAATGCAAGGATTTGTCATCCTTCTTGACCACACAGAACCAGCGTGATCTGTACGAGCTGTTTGAGGGCTCGTAGACTCCTGCGTCTATCTTCCGTCTGATCACCGCACAAAGTTCTCGATAAATTCCTGGGGGTATTGGAATGTTGCACTGAACCCAGGGCTTGTGTGGAACCACTGGAAAGTCAATTGGCAGAAAGTACTCAGTGTGAAAGCTGCCTCACTCTAAGTCATCCCATGCGAAGGCCCTGTTGTGAAGACACATAAATGTATGCAAGAGTGCTCACTCGTCTGGCCATAGAAATCCTCCTGAATGTGTGGTCCAGGGCCATCTTGTGTTCTAGCGAGTATCTGCTGGTGGGCGTAAACTGTGGTGGATGCGTAGGTAGTTGTGATAACATGGCTAGCAGGTCACCCATGATGGAACGTATGATTCTGAAAGATTCTGGTACCATGGTAAGAACTGGTTGAGTCTTGAGTGCAACGGGCTTGTACTTCTTCTTGGTAGCTGCGAAGCTTGCTGACGGAGGTTTGCCTGATTCGTGGTGATTGGCAGACGTGGGTGTATCAAAGGATAGAGTCAAGATTAAAGCTTGTGTATGCGAGGCTTGTAACGTAGAGATGTGAGGCGAATCTTGGCAATAAAGTGAATCGAGAGCTTGTACAAATTGTGTGGATGCTTGCAAATATCTGATTGGAATAGCGGTAGGGTCAGAGGGTGTGATCTAGGTATATGTGATGATTTCTGGCTGGAGCTGGGCATTCGCTTCGATAACTAGGGCCAAACTGTCACTTGGGTTGTCTATACCCTCCGCTAATGAAAACCCGACTGGTCCATGTCCTTAGGTCGGTGAAACCGTGGAGGTCCTCAGCATATGGTTGGAATAGTCGTGACTTGGCCTGAGTTTGGGCAAACTATCGTGACCGTCTGATCTTCATTGAAGAAGTTCCTAACCACGCTCTTGGTTAGAACATCAAAGGGTCTTCCAAGTAGGATATCGTAGGCAGCAGTGCAGATAACGTGAATCTGCAAATAAAGCACTATGTTGCCAACTTGGAAGGGAATATTGCACACTAGTCCCAATGATTGGTCGACTTCTCCATTAGCTGATTGCATATTCAGCTTGACTGTTGGGTTGTAGATGAGCCCCAATGCATGGCAGACATCTTCCGACATTGCCACTATCTGACACCCCGGATCTAGGATCGCTTCTACCCGCTCTTTGTTATCCACCAAAGCTATGATGGAATGAAGCGAATGAGAATCCTTAGCCACCACCAGCTGTTCTGGGTCTCCATGCTGGTGTATGTGTCACAGATACGTGTCATAAGGATCTGGGACGATCAAACCATGGGGCTGCAATGGTTCGCCGTGATACGAGAGTTCGCCAATCTGCGCCGTGGTCCCGTTCATGAAGGTCTCTTCATCAGCTTCCCTATCACTAACATAGAAGTCCCTGTACTTGGTGGATTGACTCTCCTTGGCGTGCAAGCTTCTCGGTATTTGTTGCGAACATCCGCTGAAATCGACAGTAATTCCTTGAGTGAGATAGCTATCATGGGATTTTTCATAGATCTCTTAAAAATGTCATCAGAGAGCTGCGGCTGATAGACTGGGGTGGTAGTACGATAGGCCGGGTCTCTGTTCTGAGGTCTCGGTGCGCCCGAGGCAAAGTTACACGTGGATGGTGGCACATAGGTAGCATCCCTGGCTGCACGATAGGGATGTTCTGGCTCCTTGTCTGCTTCCGGCGTAGTGGCTGTAGGCTGTAACGTAGATGATGTGGTTGATAAAGCAGCTGTAGGCACTGTACTCATAGTGGGCTGTGTCTGCGTGACTGGTTGGCTAACTGACATGGGCGGAGATTGACGAGTGTTTGCATTCGATTTGCGCGGAGGCATGTATACTCCATCGAATACTTGCTTTGTCTTGCACAACGAGTATAACTCTTGTTCTAAGGCATGAATGCGGTTGTCGGCCCCCAAGGCAAAGGTGCTATGCTCCTGAGGGGAGACTTCAAATAAGTTTGTGGCTGAGATCGACGCCTGCGTCTGTGCAGTGGACTGATTTCTCCTATGCCATTCGTAGATTCAGTCACGAATGGTTATACCCAGAATGATACGTGGGATGAAGGATCCGTTCAGCAAGACCACCTTCCCGGCAGAGTTTTGCATACACTTGCCGGACTTTATGTCCTCCTCTACATGCTTGCAGGTGCCTATCATGCCCCCTGCTTCGCCACAATAGTGACAATAGCCCATGCTGTTGCCTCCACTACTTGTAGTTGGCTTTGGCACTGCGCTAGCTTGTATGCCATTCCCCTTTGGCACAACTCCAGTCACCGCTGCTGTCAACATTTGCACAGACTTGACTAGGCTCTCGATGAGTAGTGAGATGTCCTCTGTCTTAATCGCAGGTTCTGACTCTGACTTCACTTTGCTGCTACCGGCGACTGCTGGTGAGGGCGAAGTTCCATGAAGGACAAACTTTGCCACTTCGTAGATCTCGTTGACATCGTATGGATCATCGGGATAGTGGTCCGGCTGCTTTAGCTGAAGTCGCTGTGATATCTGACTCCATAGGTCTGGCAGGAATTCTCGTGCAAATGCCCGGTTGCGCTCAGAATACGAAATGCGATGTTTGCCTATGAGGAACGTAGTAATTACCAAGAATTCACGATGGTAGGCTCCAAGTTCCGCAATGCTATGGATTCCCAGCCTTGCTCGCTCCCCAATGAGCATGTCCATATCTCGGACCTCCTACTTGCGCTCCATATCTGCGCCAGGGTACAGTCACTGTACTGCTACTTTGAGATCTTGGACGTGCGCTGGACATCTGAATATTCTTCCAAGCTTTCGATGAGGTCTGCTACGTCGATAGTGAGGTATCGGCAAACCCAGCGTTTCCTTTCTGTTTTATCCGTGATATTGCAACGGGCAAATAAGATTTCCAAATTGTCAAAGAATCGCAGAAGTGTGCGCGGATGCTCTGGATCGAACGTAGGGGCTGTGCGATCCCCTCTAAATGGCATTTGGCTGACGGTTGTAATTGTAGCTGCCATCGTGTACTGGGTATGGTGTGTAGGTGGCAAACTTTGAATGCGAGCTTCTGCCTCTTGAATCTCGTCTAGAAGTGAATGTCCTTTGGAGATAAAGTCGTCTAAACCTAAACTTGGTTCTGACGCAATGGACGAGGGCTGATGGATGCTAGAAACGTTCGAGGATACTGGAGATAGTGGACTTGATTGTCTGGAGTTGGACGGTGCTGGACTGGCTGTCCGAGAGTTTGCCACTGTGGCTGGAAAGTGTTCCCTCGGATCATAATCTGCAAGATACTCGTGTCCTTCATCTGTGCGCTCAAATCCTGTTCTCTGATACTTCTGTAGCCTCCTGAGTCTCTCATTGAAGGAAGTAAAAACTTCTTCTGACATTTCGGATATGGCTGCGAGCATTTGCCAACAACGTCAATGATTTCTAAACCTTCAATTCTTCAACCCCTCACGGTGGGCTCCAGAAATGATGCGTCCATGGAGCTCCTGGCCTCGTGCTACTCCAACACTAATTCAGGGTCCGCTGTGTGGGGTGTATGTGGGGGGCGACTTTGGCGAGGGTTTGCTGTGAGCTGGTTTAGTGACTTGAAGCTACTGGCAATAGGGATGGGTAATGGGTTGGTAATGGACTGGGGTAGTGTGCAGGTGCGGCCAACAATCGTAAGATTGGCAAATGATGGTGTGGGCAGCCAATATCGAGCCTTGGAAAAGGAACTAGGGTTGTGTGGGAAGGAAAGGCTGTATTTGAAAGGGGCTCCAAGCATGGGATTGTCGGACTTGATCGCAAATGTGTTTTGATCGCAGCGAGGTGGAGCGGAGCTGACCGTATATGAGATGCTGATCGGAGGATGGCAGGGAAGCTCGGTTAAGTCCGATGTGCGAAGATCCTTGGGCCAACTACTATATTTGGGATAAAACCCATGGTCTAAGGCTAGAAATGGCCCGGAGCTGATCAGAAGTGCGATATTGTCGCAAGAAGGCAGGTCGGACCTGATCGTATATGTGTTTCTGATCGGAGGGCGTCGGAGCGCCGGTGTCTAAGCCAATGAGAGCGAGGCCTCAGACAGGTTCTGAGGAGTCCTGGAAATGTAGGGCTGAAAGGGGTAACTGAGTGATGTAGCATGGGAGTGTGTTGAAATATCTTCGGTTGCTAGGTGGGCTGGGCCTGATGATATAATAATGACGAAGTGCACTGTGATTGGTGCTGGGACTTAGCTGAAACTGTGAGAATGTGCCTAGTGACCGTAGCTAAGGCAATAGAAAAGAGCTGCTGGCCAAGAGATGAAGTGCTGAGATGTAGGCTGTGGGCTAGGAGACTCGAGCTCCTCCCAATTCGATTGTTTTAGTATGTACATGTGGTAGGCTTATATACCGCCCTAGCAGGCCACCACCGAGAGTTTGCCTGCTTGGGTGATTAAACTAGGTATGGTAAAAGAAAGACTGAAACGAGTAAGATATTAGCTGAAACTTGCAACGTAATTGTGTTCCTGTTTGAAATACCGGACCAGACCGTTAACACATATCAGAACATGTTTCACCCATGCTGACTTGGCTGGGCAGTCTTCGCACATCTTTGCCATGATGGCAGTCCTTTGCCCTGGTCTTCTGGGTGCCTACTGCCTGATGCTGTTGCTACCGCTAAGTCCACCGAGCCTTCTTGCATTCGGAAGTGTCAGCGTAGCTTCAGGATGGCCGAGCCTTCCCACGATGCTTTATTTCCACTGCCTCGTGGTGAATGACTCCCACGGTGGCAATAGCACGGACCGGCTCGTCGCCTTGCTGGCCTAACTTTGCCAAAATCGGGGTCATTCTCGTGCTTCTGTCAGTCAGCCGCTCTCGCCATGCATCAACGTATATAAAGATTAGCATGTAGAGGACGAAACTTCAGATTGTTTCTCCTCATCTACCACTGTAGCGACCACTAAGCTTACTAGCTCCATCATATATCTATCACCTTTCCATACACTTGCTACACAGCTAGTAAGTGTTAGGCTCTTTAGCCACTTTAGGGATCAGGGGGATCAGGACGGCACATTCTACGTGACCGCTCCTTTTTTAGTCTTTTTGATCTCTTGTTCAGCATCGCTGTGACACAACTTCTTTTCCCTTCCACCACTGATTGGAAGGCCCTTTGCCTTGCAATCAAGGGTGAGAAGGTAAGCGCTATTTCGGACAGCCTACTCTGGGTGTCCGAAGTCATTTCCAACGAAAATTTTTCTTTCAGGTCACTATTTCACCTGAAGATGCAGTGGCCACCCTCTGGGTGCCACTCATCATGCTAATTGGTTCTGGCATAGGAACCATTCATGGCAGTGAGTCCACACTCCAAGCCCACCTGCGCCTCTCGGTAGGGGTATGTACGCTGACCCCACTCAATGCTGAAGCGTTACTTATAGAACTTCAGATTCTACTTAGTACAGCTGGAGGCATATACATGTCTTCGACATCCTCGACATCATCTATAGTGATATGGTATTAACTCCTCAAGGGAGGTGAACCACGAATGTGGTATTGTCCAAGGCCTCATCTTTATCCATTATGTCAGACGAAGGTGAAATTCTTGACCTTACTTCTTCACCAGAGTGGTGAGGGTTTGAGCTGGATCTCGAGCCCATGCTCGGAACAAAGCTATGGCTCAATTCTGGGACAACATCAGTAATTGCGGAGTCAATGGGGTACTCACCATTATCAGAAGGCCGAATGCCTTCAACGCTCATTGAGCACCTAACCTGCATGGTGTGGCCATGTGCCATTTCAGGTAATGGTCACACACAATGAACTGAGGTCAATTTTTGATATCGCAGATGTGATAGTGTCGTTACAGGGCCAGAAGAATGAGTTGATCAGACTCAATAGTATCCAGGCACGAGCAATGAGAGCGAGAGTTATAGAGTCAAGCGAGTCAGTCTTATACTGTCAAAAATATGTGACGTTCGCAGCTACTTTTGGTAGTTGGTGGCATCACACGAGCGAAAGCATCACATGCAGGAAGAGACAGGTTATAGGACTCTGAATTTTCAGTAATACAAGCACTGCTCTTTACATGGGGTTTCGGGCCTTTATTTATACATAGAGCCTGTAGGTAAAACTTAAGGGGTTCAAAAGAGCGTAGGGAGGCGAAACGAGTGAAACATTTGAGTGTGGGGTGTGGTTCAAAAAGGAAATAGCTCAGCCACAGCTGAAACGGGGCTGTGGCTGAGGGAACAGATGTCGGCGCTCTGCGGAACGCGCCGTTACACACACGTAGGGGCATATTCAAGATAATCAAAATTTTCGTTGAATTAACCCCGGCTATTGGCGTTGAAGTCACTGTTGCATATCTCATATGTGCAAAATCTGACTCCGGAACCTCACTTGGTAGATTTTTGTTCCTTTGTCGCTGCTAGCGCTTCTACGACGCTGTCCTACACTTGTAGAAGCTTTGCGCGTGTAGAAAGCTCGAATCAATAAGCCAAAAAAGTCAGGTAAGGCAAATAATGAACTTCAGATGGTGGCGAGTCGCACATGCGTCCAGCAAGGTCGAAAAGTTAGTATGCGAGGAATGCAAGTTACAAAGCTGTGCATCAGTGTGTAGAAAGTCCATGTATACGAGCGAAATAAAACCTCGAGCTATCAGAAAAGGTTCAAATATCAGCTTTTAGAACTAGTAGCAAAAGCAGCACACGAGGATACCAGTACAATTCCAAACAGACCAGGGAAATGGATGACAGCGGTGCACTTGAATCGCAGAAGCCAGACAAAGGAGACACGCAAAAATCCCGGCGCAACATCATCATTGACTGGCTGAGGTGTGGCGGCGGATGTGGCACGGTCCTTCTGCCCTTCGTACAAACCAACCCCCCCCCCCAAACCAAACTTCCAAAGAAAGGTTGTTCGGGAGGCTGACTATAATCCAGTCACTTGGCATTAAGACTAACCGGAGAAGTCGTGCGCAGCAAGTTCAGAACGAGCAAATAATTGTACACAATTGATACATAGAACCTATTAGTCCCACAGATCAGCGTGAAGCAATACACGGGGTCACTCGTACAATACAGTCTAAAATTCAACGACAGCGGACATTGTCCTGTATGTGATCGTACCAGGGTCGTGAACCGCTTGCGAGAAGCACATGATGCAGCGTCATTAAGGAAGCCATCAAGAACGATCAGGGCATATCGCGCCTGTAGACCTCCGCATGCCCGTCGTCTTCGGCGTGCCAGTCGTCTTCCACATGCCAAGGCACCTGAGCAACTCCAATAGCGTACTCTCCAAGGATAGGGTCGGAGTCCAGCGAAGTGGCAGGCGTAGGATGCTCGATCTGCATAATGCTCTCTTTGCCTCCGTCTTTCTGCTGATCCGTGCTGTATCTCGCGAGTGGTGCGCCGGAATTGTATGTCAGCTGAGGCAAAATCGTGCCTTTTACACTGCTTGTGGATTCCGAGTGAATGCTCCGACGCACTGAAGAAGCGCATGATCGATGCGATGAGGGCATTGCGACCAATGCGGAGACTTGCAGCGCGCGGATGGGAGGCGAGCGAGGCCTGACGCACTGCGAATCTGGAGAAGTGGCAGGCTCAAGGGCTCGAGCGCGCCGTATATCACGGTATGCCAGATATAGAGAAACGGAAGGGAGGTAATCGACCAAACGATTGTTCGGTCGGACGTTGAGGGTAGCTTCGCCAGTAGTGGTGCCTGCTAATAATGGAGGCTTCGTGGGCTCACGAACGTACGTCGCGGAGAGAGGCTTGCAGGACAGTCAACACTACTCCTATAGCGGAGCGTGGTATTGTGGGCTGTGCTCACCACCAAGTCCGACCATCTGTACTTTTCCTCCTGTGCAGTCTTCATGCTGGGAACAACGTCCCATATTACAGGAGTTTGCGAGAGATTCTGCCCTCCAGTAGAAAGACCGAGATTTCGCCGTATTTCAGTTGAGAGACGACGTGATCCGAGGCCGCACGCGAGGAAGAAAAGGAACACCCCGACGAAGGTGAGGAGAAAGACGAAGGGAAGGTTGCCCTCAGGCATATCGCTGTCGCCATCGTCAGTGGCAGTGTTGTTGACACTTGAAGAGGTAGTGGTGGGGTAAATAGATGCACTCGGGTAGCTCGTGGTGGTTAGCGTGGACATAGGCATAGACATCGTCATAGGCGTGGTCATCGACATTGCGGGCGAAGCCGTGACGCGTCAGATGGGGTTGAGTGCTGCTCAGACTACCATAGAGGTCATTAAAGGGTCATGAGAGGCGTGCGAGGACGGGTGGCGGCAACGTGAAAGCCTGAGAGCGGGGAGGACGACGAGGCCTGCATCGACATGGGGCGATCACACGATACGTGACCAAACTAGCCTCATATTATGCGAGCAGATGACGGTGAGAAAACGGCCCTGGCCTCCTTTCCTGCACTGACGATGAGGTCGACGAGGAGTGACGAGGAAGAGAGTTGCCTAGGAGCAATATGTAGGCCAAGCCCACTCACAGCCAAGGCCCAAGGCCCAAGTCGCAGCAGCTTGCCTCGTCCCCCGCGCTCACGTGACAGATCAGCACGTGACAGATCAGGAGACCCCCAACAACTTGTCCATCTTCGCCATCTCGCTCTCGAATGGAACTTCCAGCTGAACGGACAAAAAAGAATGGAGTGTGATGATCATTATATGGTAGTGTTTCTTGCTTGTGAGCCATGACATTCCCAATTCATTGAGTCTAGAGTCCCTCAATTAGAGTGGCACCGCCGTTCCTATGATCTTGAGTGCCCTTCCAGACCCGTGAGTAAACTTCCATCCACAGTCGTCACCATCTCTCCCAAAAAATGCTGAGGGCGATTCCATTCCAGACAGAGACTGGAACCCACTTTGATGAGAACAAGGTTCAACGCTTCCGCGTCTGCATTGGTATCTCGTTGACAAGAGCTTTCGTGAAGACATTGTTAACTTGACGTATCGGACTGGATGCTGTATTCATGGTTCAACTAGCGATGCCTATCGCCGTGATAGTGCCCGATGTGGCTCGACAATGTCTGTATCGTGGACCCACAACATGCAACAAACATTGGACTGCCCGTTGCGGACAAGCTGTCACAATCATGGCAAGAGATACTGGAAATACATGGTGGCAACAGAGGCGATGAGTCGTTGTTATGTTTTGAGATTTCTGGCAACATTGGTTTAAAATGTCGCGAGCCTGTCGAGCAGACTTCCTCTTCCCGAATCTCCGTAATGCTCAAATAATGTACGTACCATTCCGACTTCTTGCCTTTTGCCGCTCACTAGAATGGTCAGATCGCATCCGTGCCGAATGAGCACGGTCAAGCTATTGCAGTTCAGATTCTAACAGCACCCACAGTCGGCGAATCTCGACTGCCATTTGAGCTCTATGAGCGAATCATCGGATATGTCGCTGGTCTGACGGAAAGAGAGGCCCGTCAAACGCTGTTTTCCTGCGCTTTAACCCGTAGGGCGTTCGTTCCGATGGCTCAACTGGTTCTTCTAGAGAGTATCCGCCTGAAGGATCGCAGAGAGGTAGCCCGTCTGCTACGCAGCATCAAGGCACGGCCGTCGCTCGGCAGGCTTGTCAAGGAAGTCGTCATACACGAGCCATGGGGCGAGGGTAATGCCCCGCATATATTGCAGTTCGCGGCAACGTTCGCGAAGTGGTTTACCAAGTTGCGATAGCTGCACCACGCGCACCTCTCCTACCTCTCGGCCCCGTTAGATTCGAGTTTGAATGCAGCATCGTCTTCAGTCAATTGCGACCAGCAAATGTACACCTAAATTACTGACCTCCTCATCTTTGATTCTGCAATACATCCTGCATTACTTACCTCGCGTAGATAGCATTATGATCCAGTGACATTATCACATTGTGAGTGGATTGGCGGCTGTATTCAAAATAATACGTGTCATCTATGAGCTACAGGTATGTGTGGCAGCGTTCAGGATCAATATTCCCCAACACAAGTCTCGACGCACAACAGGTCGCCATTCGTGATGAACAGGTACTACCACTCTTTTCCTACATTCCTTCCCATCTCCACACAAGCCCCCACACTCACGCCGCCCACACCTGCACCCACAATCTCCGCCCTCTCTCCCCAGTGCTCCCTTACCGCCGCACGCATCTCCTCCATTCTTCGCTCATGCCCCACCGTCGGCGCCGGTATGCATCCCGCATGCTGGTGTATCCTTACGAAAAGCGGTTTCGGCAGCGGCCTGATCTCACCATCCTGGTTCGGAGCCAAGTGCACCGCGAGTTGGTGCAGCAGTCGGTCGATGAACGTGGGTGATTGGAGGTTCGCTGCGGACGCTGAGTACGGCCTGCCGAGTATGACGGTCACTTTCTTCACCTTGTCTGCTGCGGGGCCGCGATCCTGCTCTGCAAGCGAGGAGGAGTCGAAGACTGTTCCGAGGATGCCTAGTTCGTTACCTCGTGAGTAGTCGTATGGAGGTGGAGGTCGCGGGATGAGGTAGCCGAACCCTGGTGGATACAGCGGTCGCGAAAAGACAACGGGAAAGATGAGGTTGACGACAGTGACAGAGGACGAGGGAGAGGCTGTGAGATGCGGGGGTATGGATAGGGCTGACGTAGACGGTAATGATGACGCCGATGTCTCGAGCAAAGAATATAGAGAGGGCAGAGGAATGGAAGATACCAGATGGGAAACTGAATGTACACGCCCGGAGGCTGTTGTGATCTGCTCGGCGAGAACAACTCTACGGTTAGGTCTGCCCAGCACGGACACATAGACAATTCTGCAGATGCCTCACCTCGAAATTATCGCCTATCTTACTTAAGCGAGCCGCACCGTCGCCTTTCACGATTTTCACGTTGCCTTTATTCCAGAACGAGTTCTCCAGCGCCCGCACCATCGTCTCCATCCCGTTTCTGAACGAGAACACGCTCACGCCGTTCATGAGATATGGCACCGCGCCCACATCGTAGTATTCCTTCAGTGTAGGGTCTTCCTCCCTCGATCTCACCTTCTTCCCCGAGTCAGTCGAGCCAAACGCGCTCCTGATCGCTCCTCGAACGACGCTCCCTCTTCCTTGCCGTTCCATCTCGAGCAGCGAAGGAAATGCAGCCTTTACACTCAGCTCCCGCGCATCCGCCGCATACACCCCATGCACGAGCGCGCTGCCCAACGTCCGCGCAAACTCCCCGCCAAAGTGGCGCATGAGAAAACTCTCCAGAGACTCGTCATCGTCCGTCGATTCTGTGCTGTGGGTACCGACTGGCTCGTAGGGATTCAGCAACCATACCAGTGCTGATGTATGCGATGAGTGTACTTACCAGCCTTGTATGTGCTGCCCACTGCGTCCTTCACGATTGCACGTATGAGAAGCCGTCCGAGGGGAGAAGCGAGGAGGGCGGGGAGGGAGGCCGGAATGAGCTCCAGTCCTCGAGTGCCTGGAATGTGCAGGAAACGGTTCCGGGCGGCGGGTGCGGTACGAGGGACGGTGATGAGGGAAGGGGTCAGGTTGAGGAGATTGACCTAGCGTGTACAAGCGGCTCAATATATGCTACACAGTGCACCAGGAAAAGTCCAGGCAACCTGGCTGCAATGAGCACAGAATGAGTGCATGCAAATAACACGCTTTGCAGCACCCCTGCATGAAAGCTGTCTGTGACAATGCGAAGAGATCCTATATCGTGATCCCTGTCTTTACAGACGCGTCTCTAGCACGGAGCTGACGGAAGAACGCGCATATATGCAGGTTATGCAATAAAACCTGACAAATCTTTACAGAGACACGTCTGATGCATAGAATATCCCAAGGAAATAGCCGTTTAGGATGCTATCTGGGCCTGAGTGAGCTTGAAACAGCTCGCCATCCTCAAAGGGCACATCAGATGGCTGTTGACTCCCCTGCTTCTGACCTAGCCCCATCTCTCAAAAAAGCCGTGGAACAGCACTCACCAGCTCAAGCACAGCCAACGCATTCGGCCTCAACGTCCTCGGACCCGCCTCCAGCAGCACACTTGCCTCCTCCGTCCGCCCTGCTCCTCCTTCGACCGCTGCGATCGGTACGCGCACCGGCACGCGCTCGCTGCGCACCCATCCGCCCAGCCGAGGCTGCCTCTCAAGGAGCGTGATGCGTGCCTTGGGGAACCTTCTCGAGAGGTGGAACGCGGAAGAGAGGCCCGTGAGGCCGCCGCCGAGGATGGCGACGTGCGTCGGGGGCATCGAGGGTCAGTCTCTTTTGATGTTGCTTTCAGGCTGTCTCGTCTGTGGCACTCCTATATAAATATTGTACTAGTGCCTGTTGAGATGAAGCTGCTTTGAGGGCTAGGAGAGTGAGCGGAATAGGACAGAGACGATTGGTCCTTCAGCTCACGCGATTGACGCAAAGACGGAGAGCTTCGGGTCGTTCGATGGCTCCGAAATGTGGGCCGACATGCGTGCTGTGCAGCCGCCGAAAACTGATCATGAACGGCGAGCGGAAGATGCTGAAAGCTCAGGCTGGCCACACCGACGCCGTGTACACGATGCATGGGGGATTGGGTCAAGTCACGCTCATTTTACTTTCTCTTGGGATCGTCATCGCCTCCTAGCTCGCTAACGTTCCGGCCATCATTGCTCTCCAGATCGCGCATTATGTAAAGCGGTATCTTTAGAAACCTGCTGCTTTAATGCTACTGTGCAATTACTCGTCCCCATCAAGCTCCTTGTAGTGCCTAAACAAGCCCATGCTGAACTTCTGTCTCCTCCCACTCGCGATGTACTCCTTGATGCCATTCTCGCGCGCCACACGTTTGTGCAGCTTGAACACATGGTCGTACTCTTTACTTTTATTGACCGCGGCCATCCGCTTGGGGAACGCAAATAGCAAGCCATCCATAACCTGGAATGCCCGTCCAGAGTCAAAACCTCATTGAGGAGGCCGAGATGCAGTGACGTACATGGAAGAGAACTAGATCTGCTGTGGTGGTCTGCTTGCCGATGAGGTATGTCCGTTCACCGTCGGCAGTGGCGGGGTTCGTGGTGAGTACGTTCTCGAAGTGGGCGAGGAACTTGGGTATGCGCGATGCACGGAAGTCTGCAGCGCGCTCGAGAGCCGCTTCCTTCTGCTCCTCGTAGTATTTAGAGGACGCGATTGGGTGATGCACGTCATGCGCCTATAGAAACACGGCCTCTCTCAACGACGACGAAACTGGTCAATGTATACGCAAGAGCGCGCACCTCGTTGTTCACGTCCAACGCCGTCAAGACCAGCTGGTTCACCGCGCTCCTCTCCTCCTCCGCCTTCTCCCGCTCCTCCTCCGTGAGGCCCTCACCCGTCGCGAGCTTGCTCCCCAGCGCGCCCGCGAGCCCGAGCTTCGGCGCGATGTGATTCAGGATGGCCGGTGTCTGAGAGATCGTGTGGCCCGAGGGCAGCTCGAGCATCGGAGGCGCAAAGTGCGGCGGGTGGCCGACTTTGGACGCGTCATGGATCGTCGACTCGAGCGTTTCGGGGTTCAAGTTCTCCGTATAGGGTATGCCGGCGTATTCGAATGCGAGCCGGATGTATTCCCCGCGTCCGGGGATGCCTGGCCACTGGGAGAGGATATTGTGAGTGTGCTGTGCGGGAGGCAGTCGGAGCGACATACGTAGTATAGCGTGTAACCTGCATTGCGAGCTTTCTTCTCCGGGGGTGACATCGTGCTAAGCAGTCGATTGAGTCGATGAGTAGAATTCCTTGCGCGTAAATGAGAGAAGATTGAGGAGACAGGATATGTGCAAGGCCTTGTGAGCGTCGTATGGATGCTCGCAACGCGTCCGAAGCGTATGAAGACAACCATGCGAAGTGAACGTAGGCCGGAATATATCTTTCGGACTAATGCGGGCCGTGACGTCAGTGGCATCAGCGTGCTTATGATCTGCTTGTGATTTGCGGCTAGTCTCAATAAGCACGCTGCTCAGTGACGAATACTATACCCACCATCAAAGTGAGTCCGACTCCGTATTCCCTAGTGACTCGCTCATTTGCTTCTCACCGTTGTTGCCCGCTAACGTCTCTCACATCACGATGGTGTCAAGAATGATGGATTCATAAACCAAGCAGGGTATACGGTCCTATAGTTCTGGCCCATCGACATGCACAGGGAATTTTGTTCACCCACTCTAGAATCAGATCTTTCCTAGTAGGAGGTTCCTCAGCATCTCCCTTCCTGTGACACGGACGGTGTGGTATAATGACCAATAGTCCAGGGTGGACGTAAGGACGTCCATCAGCCCGAACGGCAACATGAGCGGGATCCAGCCTGCACATCAACTCATCGTCAGCATGCATCCGATCAAGCGGAAGGAAACGAACGACCTCTCGCGTATTCCAGCGCGAAGCACCCCTCGTGCATCTTGTACTGCTTGACCTGCCCACGCTGGAGGTGGTGCACGCTCCCTGGGCCATAACGCTCCATCTCGAGCTTCGGCGGGGAGAACGCCCACTGCTCGCCGACGAGGATGTTGAAATAGTCGTCCGCGGTGTGCAGCCCGGTGTGGCCCTCCGTTCCGAGCGGCGTGCCGAACACGATGAGGTACTCGGTGATGCTCGCATGGATGATGTACATTGCGCCCATCGCGCCACCTGCGTTGTTCAGCACCCACTCGGACGTGTTTGTGTTGAGCGCAATCACGGAAGAAGGGTACGTCGCGGAGAGGTTGGACACGATGTAGGACACCATGAAGTCCGTGTCGCTGGGTGACGGCGCGGCCGAAATCGCTGCCTGGGAGAGCTCATGCAGGTATTCGGGAGTGAACACGTAGAACCGATCCTGTGAGGAGGATGTGGTCAGTGACTGGAACAAGGCAGGTGCTGAGCACGACAGTACTGTCGCCCTCCAGAAGACACATACTGATCTGCAAAATACGAACCTTGATGCTGTCCAGCCAGCTGTATACTGCAAAAATAATGCCCAGAAAGATGGATCGTAGCAGCCATTTCTTGAGCCACGAGCTCTCGCGTTTGCTGCTGTTCTTCGGCGCGTTGGCCGTCGCCGTCGCGGAGTCCGGACGTCCCATCGTTTGTGGGTCACGAAGGAGAAAAACAAGTTCTTCTACTCCTCGGTCCTGGGGTTATGAATGGGGATTTGACCCCAGCGATGATTGCCTGTATGCCCGGTCGTACGACGCGCGTGGCAGACGCGTCTTGATCGAGATCGATACGCGTCGAGCGAGTTGAACCGAGCGTGTCACGTTTACAGCCAAACCGAACTGAACCGATTTGATTCGGGATTATAGTGTGAATGCCGAGTGGCCACGTTGCTTCCCATCGAGGGCGAGCCCCTGCTTCGCCTTCCACTGCCGTCACCCTAAGCGACCTTGAACACAGTCTAAGCGGTCCACCAGGCTGCCGTGTGGCATAGATATCCCTTAAAAACCTCCCTGGCCCCGAATTCCCCCTCTGCATACGATATCTCTCACCGCCAATCACCCAGCGCGCTCGGCGATACTGCGTTCACATCTGGCCACCGCCGGTCCCAATCCCAACGAGCCTTGAACCGAGACGGATAGTCGATAACGCGTCCCAAGCATGTCCCCACGACAGCGAAAAACCGCGAACGGCGGGCCCAGCCTGAGTCCCAGCCGAAGCGTCGAATCTGACTCCGACAGGGCAGACGAGGTCCGGAGCGTCATCGCGAGTGCGTTGCAGCCCTCGTTAGAAGAGCGCGACGTCGTGAAGGTGAACAATGCGAGCGTGACGGAGATGAAGCATGCGTGCGATGATGCGCTGAAAAGGGTGAGTGGCTCATTCGACGTCAGTGGTCTGCTGGGAATCTCGCGGTGTTGCATGTCGTGTGCGCATGCCATGGCAGCCATGCTGTTGAATGCTTCGCTCGAGACCGCACGAATCTTCTGATGATCTTATCATCGTTGTGAAAGAGCGACTACATGAACCGCGATAACCATTCGACTTGCCTTTTTCGTCATTCGGGAGAGACAAAGTGGCAGATGCTAACAGACGATGGCATCCATAGTTCCTCTCACGACCAGAACTCTTCAAGCAAATATATACCCACACGGACATCCGGCTAGCCCTCGGGTGGGCAAGCGTCTTCGTTGCAGCGGGCACTGCGCTGTACGGCTACCGAGTTGAATTTGAAAAGAGCAAGCCCGGCGTGTGGGCAGGTCTCATCCTGTGAGTGGTTCTGCGACTTGACCCTCCTCGCGCGCTAGCTGACGGCGTCTGATCAGATATATCCTATTGACAACCATCCAAACATTGTATGCATACCTCATCGAGGGGGACATCGTCTTCGTCGGTAAACGGAAAACATTCGCCAAGCGGGTATGTCATTTCTCACATTCATCCGCCAAAGCATCACTAAATCGTACCAACAGATTGTCACCGAGCGGATAACGCTCAGTTCCACGAGCACGCCCTCGACGTCCAAGTCTCCACCAGCACATGCGCTCTCTGTATCGTACGTCCGCTCCACGTCCGGAGGCAAGTCGCTTCTCGGCCGGGGGCGCGAAAAGGCCGAGCGGGGATACAACACGTTCTTTGACGAGAATGGCGTGATGGACCAGGAAGGGTTCGAGCGGTGGGTCGCGGAGCTTGTCGGGCGCGTGATGGAGGAGAAGGGCGAGTGACTGCAGGTCCAGTGATGCGCGGGTGGCCCACCTTGGATTGTGGCTATATGCTGTCGGTTTTGTATGGTACGTGTATGGGTCTATAGTGTAGCTAATCTACGGAAGGATTCTCGTTTTTTTCTGCAGAGTTGCTTTGGCCAAATGGAGAATGTTGGTGAAGGCTTCGCTTGTTTCAGTGGTCGCCTTGTATGCTCTCCGTCATAACGTAACTGATGGTCCGCAACGTTATGCTACTCTACCTGGCTCTCGTACTCGTACGTATTGATCGTGAATTCGTGCATTGGCATGATTTCGTGGTAATTCAAAGTACATGATCGGGATTTCGGCGCAGCGCTTGGCGTCGTGCGCTAACCACGAGTTTGCGCGACCTTCCTGCGAGGTATCACTTCGCATTCCATCATGTTGTTGAACCCAAAGCCCTGAAAGTTGGCTAGGTATAGGTAGTAAGGATGGTGGCCACATCGTGTTGGGGTGCATGATTAGCGCCCATAGATCGCCGAAAAGGTAGTGCGCGAATTTGTCGTACTCTTCCACTCAACCTTGTCCGATCCCAACCAAGGACTTCTGTATACCGACTCATGGATCCTGAAAGATGTCCCCGAACCGATCCTTTACCTCAACGGCGAAATCGGAATTGGTCCCGACTTCAGGAGCTACTATGCCATCCCAGTCAATAAACCCATGAGCGCGTATCACCGCACGTCTTGAGATCATCCGTGATCTTTCAAGCCACTTGACTCACACCAGCCTGTACTACTGATGTCCCAAGCTGCGGCCAAGAGTTTGTGGCAGGCGCAAGGCCTCCCTTCTGAATCGCTCTCGCACCTGCTTCTCACTCCGAAACCTGATCCTGCAGTGAACTCATCGTTTAAATTAGGAACTGCAGCACAGGTATGTCAGCAATGCGGTCGAGACGAACCCAAATGCTGATGGAAGGTATCAACTGTTGCGGCTTCACAGACAGCAATCGGGTTGTCAGGCTTGGGAGCGACCCACTTCCATCAGTTACGCACAGGCGTCGAGCAGACTGTTCAAGTCGACGCTCGACATGCAGTGCTAGAGTTCAGTTCGTGCTGAGGAAGTTTCTTCTTGCCAACTATCTGTCTTATAGCGTTTCATTTGCCAGAGAGCGAGGCATGGTATACGATCAACGGAGAGCTGCCATCTGGCGCCCTGTTCGATGAACTGGCGGGACTGTACAAGACGAAGGACGACAGCTACGTGCGACTGCACACCAACTTCCCTCAGTGAGTCCAGTCGAAGTTCATTGGCACCCGGAGTCCTGGCGGATTAATTACACAAATTTAGCCACCGTCGAGGCATCCTCGACATTCTCCAATGTGAACCAACCAACCAAGCCGTAGCGGAAGCGCTGCTGAAATGGAATGCCGTCGAGTTCGAGACCGAGGCATCCTCCCGGAAGATGGTCGCCACCGCATTGAGGTCATTCGACGAGTGGGATCGGCACCCGCAGGGCAAGGCCCTAGCCAACACGCCTCCCGTGCAGCTCATAAAGATTGCAGATGCGCCGAAGCGAGAAGCGCATGGGAGTTATACCAGGCCACTCGAAGGTATCCGCGTCTTGGACTTGACGAGAGTCCTAGCAGGACCTGTCTGTGGCCGGACGTTGGCAGGTATGCGGCTGACGGATCCAACGCACCTCGCGCGATACTGACTCACAGCCCTAGCGCACGGAGCTGACGTACTCCTCATCACCTCGCCTAGACTGCCCGCTCTTCCTTTTCTCGATGCCGACACTTCGCGTGGGAAGCGCACGACACAGCTCGACCTCACTGCTTCACAGGATCGCGCAACGCTTGCGTCGCTCGTCGCGGACGCCGACGTCTTTCTGCAGGCGTACCGACCACGTGGGCTCCAAGAGAAGGGCTTTGGGCCAGAGGACGTCGCCCAGGCGCGTCCGGGAATCGTGTATGCGAGTTTGACGGCGTATGGGTGGGAAGGTCCGTGGAAAGACCGACGTGGCGTAAGCATACAGCCTCTCGATAAGCTTCCGCGTATTGATCAATGATTCGGCGTCTTGACGGCAGTTCGACTCGCTGGTACAGACCGCTACAGGATTCAATGTGGCTGAAGGCGATGCCTTTGCCACCTATACGGGTGGCACTGAACTTCCAACTCCCAAAGTACTGCCAATGCAGGCTCTTGACCATGCTGCAGGATATCTGCTGGCCTTCGGGATCAACGCGGCGCTATGCAAAACGTTGACGGTGCGTACCTACTTCGATCACTGTCATGAGTTGTCTCCTTCATGCCACCTGCAGGAAGGTGGCTCATGGGAAGTCCGGGTGTCCCTTGCAGCCATGGGCCATTGGATTCGTTCGCTGGGCCGCCTAGATCCTGAGACGGCATTTGGAAGGGGTCTACCATTTCCTCGTAGTATGGTACCGCAAGATCCAGAGATCGCTGCGTTGGCCACGGAGTTGGTCCAATCCGATGGAGACACAGGGAAACTGGAGGATCTTAAAACAATGCAAGCCATTAGCCACGCCGCAATCTTGTCGAAGACGCCAGTCCAGGAGGGTCGCGCTCCATTGCGCCTGAATGCTCATGTTCCTCAATGGTTGCCGCGGGCTGCGTAGTCCAAGATGATGAGCATGCTTCCTTTAATTTAGGTTAGATCTATAAATCACGGGAAGACGATATCCTCCACGCACCTGACTGTAAGAGCGAACTTCTTCCGCACAGGCCACGGTGAAGTTAGGATTATTTTTCACTCCATTCATTGCGCATACTGATGTTGGGTTTCATGTTTGTCCATTACGAGGGAAAGAAAGTAATAAAAAGTAGAAAGTACATGAATACAATACAACAGCAAGCGAACCCAAGATGAGATGAAGAAATCTACTTCGCCCCTGCACTCGAGAACTGGATTGCATTGTTGTCAGATTTAGAGCAGGTAATCACTTAAGCAAAGACTCGCCTTCGTCACCGACTTCGTTCCCTCTGAGATCGCGTGCTTCGCGAGCTCTCCTGGCAGGATTAGGCGCACAGCTGTTTGAATTTCGCGTGAGGAGATCGTCGACTTCTTGGAGTATGATGCGAGCTCTGCTCAAAATTAGAACCATGTGGGTGAGCGGAATCATCTGTACTCACTGGATGCCTCAGTAGCGATACGCTCGAAGATGTCGTTCACAAAGGAGTTAAGAATGGCCATGGCCTTGTTGGAGATACCCGTATCAGGGTGCACCTGCTTAAGAACTGTTTAAAGTCAGATTGGACCCAGAAGTGCTAAAATCTAACCACGCACCTTTGTAGATGTAGGAAGAATACGTCTCCTTGCGCGACTTTCTCCTCTTCTTCTTTGCCTCCTCACCGGAAGGTGCGGCAGCCTTCGCAGTCTTCTTCGCCGACTTCCCGCCCTCAGCGGACTTTGCGGGTGCCTTAGAGGCAGTCGAGGCAGGAGCCTTTCCAGCAGTCGAGGCGGGCTTCGGGGCCATTGCGGTTGAGAATGTGGTTGTCAGAGAAACTGCGAAGAAGAGGGCGCGACGGCGAGTCGGTGGACCAGGATAGAGTTATGAACGACCGCAAAAGCATGGTGAGACTATTTATAAGGACGCGTTACACTTGTTTGGCACGACGCGTTGTATTGAACTTTATTTTGTTGAATCTTGTTCAACACGCCACCACGTGATCTGAATCTATCGGTTTAGCGCGTCGGTGGCGCTGCCCTTGCGCTGTATAAATACTGTTGCGGCCGCGAACCTCTCCTTCTCATCTTTGCACTCGCCCGTGACCATCTACCTTCTCCACTCTTACCTTAACTACCCCCGATTTTACGATGTCTGGCAAGACGAGCGGAAAGTCCAAGTCTGGCAAGGCCTCTGGCGAGGCGAACAAGTCGCAGTCGCGGTCTGCGAAGGCTGGCCTTCAGTTCCCCGTCGGTCGTGTCCACCGTCTATTGAAGAAGGGCAACTATGCGCAGCGTGTCGGTGCTGGTGCACCAGGTGAGTTTCAGCCTCTTTGAGTGCTGCGCGAACACTAACTTGCGCTGTAGTATACCTTGCTGCCGTCCTTGAATACCTCGCAGCAGAGATCCTCGAACTTGCTGGCAATGCAGCGCGTGATAACAAGAAGCAGCGTATCATTCCTCGGCATCTCCAGCTTGCCATCCGCAATGACGAAGAGTGAGTTGTGTGCTTTCGAGATCTCTGAATATTATCGAACGATTTCATTAGACTCCACAAACTCCTCGGCGACGTGATCATCTCTCAGGGTGGTGTCGTGCCATTCATCAACCCCGAAGTGTGTTCTGCTACGATTACTTCTCTGGTCAAAATACTCACGGATTTGTATACAGCTGCTACCGTCAAAGACACAAAAGGGCAAGAAGGACAGTCAGGAGGTATAAGCGGGTCTCTCGACGTTCTTCCCGTTGTTGTTGTACTATTGTATATTGTATAGGCACCATATTTTATTTCTCCTATATCATGATCTAGAATTCATTTTGTTCGCATGATGCAAGAACAATCGAAGAACATGACCTAATTTCTCAGCGTTGCAAAGTGGTTGGTAAAGGTATCTTCTTGTCCGACGAGAATTAATGAACGACATTAGGAGTCTGACAGTAATGACGTGACGCAAATCGGGCATGCAGAGGTATATGAAGATGGTCATCGACAGCCAACGAAGAAAACTCGAAGCAGACAGTAGCCAAAGTCTCACGAATTGGCTCTCTCCTTCCCCTTCCCCGTTGGTGGTGGACGTAGTGGAAGGTCAGGCGTGCTGGCTACCGCTGCATTCGTGAATGAAGGTAGTCGCGTTGTCTCTCTGAGAGTCGGTGGTGAGAACGTCCCCGATTGGCGCGAACTACGCGTAGGCGTGCTAGGCAACGAGCCGTTGAAGAGCGCACGCGTAGGGCTCCTCGAAGCGGAGGACGGCGAGCTGGAATCGGACTCCCCTGCGGCGGCCTCAGTGAGGAGGAATTCAACCCAGAGGCGAGAGAACGACTGGGGAATCGATGTAAGCCTGTGTGATGATGTAGTCTGAAATAGACGACTTACTTCGGTTTCATCCGTCTTATCCAACTCCAGTGCCTTACCTTTCGAAGGTGATGATGTGGATGAACGGCCTAATAGACCGGAAAATGGGGAAGGAGCCTGCATTGAGCTACTCTTGTGCTGCAATCCTGCGCGCTCCCGCTCATCGTCGTTCCAGGAGAGGATAGTGGCGAGCAGCGAGAGCATCTCAAAGCGTTTCGTATCGCCGCGTGGTGTTGTAAGGAATGAAAGTAATACATTGGTGACCAGCCGTCGGTCAACGTTCGTGTCAGTCGAAGACTGCCGTAATCGGCGGAGCGCCTCCATGAGATGCTCGTTCATAATCACCGCTGCGAAATGAGTGAGCACAGAATGGCGCGTATGCAGACTGTTTCTTACCTTCGTGGCGCAACTTTCCGATAAGCAACTTTTTCTCTTTCACTTCCTTTTCGAGGTCCTGAAGCCGCGACGTATCCGTCGAAGATTCTTCCAGTTGGAGCTAATACAATATCAGCGTATGTTCGTTTGCCATAGCATCCTGGTACAAACCTCGGCATTCAGCGCGCGATGTTTGAATTCGGCAAGCGACTGTGTGGCAGCCTGCAGCTGAGACTCATAGTCCTTCGTCGCCTGTTCCAGATCATGGTCCTTCGCTGACGAAAATTGAGCATATGATAGCGAATGCGCCAAGTCAGCTTACCAGCCTGAAAGTCCTCCAGCACCGACTGCAGGTTTGTGCATTTCTCGCGCTCGACGCCGAGCTCGGTCTCAGCCATCTCCTTCGCCGTTCGTTCGACCTCAATTTCTCTCCGCAAGTTCGCAAGCGTCGACCGTGCCTCATCCGCCGCGATATGTTCCTGCAGCGCCTTCTGCTCCCACTCGTCTCGCTCCATCCTGCATTGTTCGAGCTCGGCCTGCGTCTCGCGCAATTCCTGCTCCCGCATGTGCGACTCGTGAGCGCTCTCCTGTAACGCACGACTTCTCATCGCCTCGAGTTCGCGCGATGCCCGATTCGCCTCCTCATTCGATGCGATGAGCTCCGCCTTGAGCGTCTCGACTGTCTGCGTGAGGTCGTCGTTCCGCGCGGTGAGCTGCTGCACGAGCTGGTCCTGACGGTCGAGTTCTTCCTACGCATGCGCGAGTCGTAACTGCACCATGGAGGACGCACAGGGAGCAACGGGACGTACGGCATCCTGCTTCAGCTTGTTCGCGACCGTCGTGCGCATCGCGGTCAGCTTCGACAGCAGATTGCGGTACTGCAACGCAAGCGCATCCTTCTCCTCCTTCGTACGTTGTAGCTCGCGTTGCAGACGCTCTACAGGGTCAGGGTCCTGGGCATCGTCCTGTTCGTGTTCGTCCGGTTCGTGTCCGTCCGCAGCGCCATTGGTCCCATTTGATGTTGGCGGACGTTCGCCGTCGAGCGACGGGCGTGGACTGGGTCCCAGCAGCTCGCTCACTTCCGACATTGCTAGTAGCGATGGAGTCGTTAATTGGAGTGGAAAGCAATCCGGAGGAGATGCAGAGCATAGGTGTACAGGTCCCTAACCGCTAAGTCCCAAACGGGTTACAACAGCAGCTTACGTAACGATCTGTTTGACTATTGGCATAGGAATCCGAACCATAGTCTTTCTCTCGCGCCTCCAGCTCCGAGTCGAGTCTGCGAATCTGCGAACTCCCGCTTAGAGTTTTCCAGATTTTGATGCCCAACAGCGCATTCCGCTACTATCACACCATTGACCGTCGAAATCTCTCATTTGTGTCTTTGCCCTATAAGTGGACGCCAAGTGATTGCTAGTCACAGAGATCGCTCAGGCCGAACATGAGGCACCAGGAGATGCCGGTGATTCGCAGTAGCCTGCACGCGCGAACGATTGACCCATTGATGGTGGGCGCGATTAATGCTCGCTGACTTTCAGAAGTCCCGACCCAGGTCGGAAATCCTCTTTATATCGGGAGACGATTGCTGGAACTTTCTTGCCGCTCCCTTGCATCAAGGTGAGATGGTAACTGGGTGCTTGTTGTCTTTCTATCTGCTGGCTCGCATACACGGCATTCGTTGCTCGCGACACGAACTATACGCGACATGACACGGAGTACGTCTCCGAAAACCCAGCGCGACGTTTGAACTGTCGGCTTACTGCAATATTCAGCGATAACATTAGCGGGAGAGACAACGTCTCTTCCACATGTGAGCCTTGCAGATGTTGCTGCCTCAGAGCACGGTGATTCGAACAGAAATCATTCTAAGCGCAAGCAAACTCTGATGAGCTTGCTTGACGCGCTGCATGAGTTGTCCAAGGAGCAGGAACTCGAGGGAAGGCGTATGTGGCGCAACTATGTAGAATTTGCAATCCCGTTCTCACCGCAGGACTACAGCTCTAATCTACTCTAATGAGCGGTCGCAGTTTGAGGACGACCGTGATGTTCGTGAGTATAGTGCATTTCAGAAGGATCAATGGCCATTCTGGTGTAACGTTCCGGTAACACACAGCTACTGTTGATGAACACCTTCAGCAAGTTGGTGCAGATGCGTTTAATAAATTTCAGAGGTAAGCAAGCAAATGACATTGGGTTATTAGTGGTAATGAGTTCTTTCAGGCGAATGACCAACCTGGATCAGGAGGTGTGTTCATGCTTCATATAACCGATGGAAGCTAAATATTCTGCTAGTTGCGCAACTTTGCCAATGCTGCACGTCAATTAGGAAGTTCTGTCGGTATCCTCTGTTCTTCCGTGCAACTGCGAGAGCGCTTAGCTCAGCTTTTATGGCTGTTCCGCGAGAATGCCGCGGATTTATTTCCGCGGAAAGTGCAGCGGCAGCCGCGGGAGATGTTCACCGAAACACGTATTCATCCTACCCCGAAGAGGAAGCGCCAGAGAGCGCCTTCGCACGTTGCGAACCCAACTGTGGTAGAATCCCTTGATCCGGAGGATTTTCCAGAGCAGTTGGAAAGCTTGGCCCACGATGTGATTACTTTTCTTGATTGTTTGAACGAGTTTCCGGAGTTCAATGACGAGGCTGTCAATGCCTCCATTCTATCATTCGAGGGTGATCTGAAGGTACGTGGCCGCATTTTCATACTACTTGCGATTAATAACATCCATTCTGTAGTACTGGGCCTCATGCCTCAAAGCATACGATGGTGGCTACATCATTCATATCACTGTTCCAACACTGACGAAAACCTGCCAGGACAATTCCGATATCCTGCAGTACAGCGATACCTTCACGATCTCACCACAGAAATGGGTGGACACTTAGATAGCATCACGGCTGCGTTGTCCGTTTTCATTGAGATTGGTCAGTTCTGGAGCATCATAGTTTTCAAGCTTGTCATGCCTATCGATATGAAACAGGTGTTCCGACGATCCGTTTCGCACAGAAACATGCCAGCCAGAATTTGCTGAATCTCAGTACCGTAGCGACATTCTTCAGCGCCGTCACTGCGACGACTATGCAATTCTCCTACCAAATGACAGAAACCCCGTTGGAGAAAGCTGTAAACGCATTCTGGTTCATCTCTCTCGTATTCAGTATCCAAGCTGCTGTGAACAGTCTACTTGGGCTCACGTGGAAGCAAGCTATGTAGTATGTTGACCTCCTATTCCCTAGAGGGATCTCTCTCACAACAATGTGCTCTGTGTTTCACAGCCGTTCTCCTGGGCACCGCGTGCCGTGGTGGGTCCTTATCTGGATCAAGCGCTCGCCATTGGTATTTCTCGTGGCCTCTGTTGCTTGCTTCTCCATGGGTCTAGTCCTGTTTGCGTATTCATCAAAACAGGTACACTTCTTTTGGACCAACGACGAGAGTATACTGAGTTATGACTAGGATCCGGTTACTCGAACGCTCACTTCGGTTTTCTCTGCATTCAGTTGTTTTGGCCTTGCAGCTGTGTCGACTTGGTTTATCTCCGAACGATGGATCTTTCTGCGGCACAGCGGTCAGAAGTGGCTTGCAGACGTGCTTTCGGAGACAAAGATCCAAGTGTGCTCTGCTCCTGGAATCAAGTGGATAATATATGAGCCTCGTGCCCTGGTCTGGCGAGTACGGCAATGGTGTCAGCGACGCTCCCGGATCGTACGCGAAAAGCTGTCTCGACTTACCTCAAGGACCGCTCGAAGACTTAAACGGTTTAGTACGATCGCGTCGAGTGCCACAGAGAAGGTCGATGGGAGCGACCTCGAAGACCAAACGTTGCCATCGTGCAATAGCCCTGATCCGGTCTCTCCAAGTCGACCCCGAATGTCGGAAGCAGGCACTGGCCCCCTCTTGCCGGTTGCCTCGGTGCGTAGTCCGACGATTGCTACTTCAACGGTCACTTTCGACTCCCGTACGACGCTGGGAGAGCCCGCCGCAGGAACCGACTCTGGTCCGTCCGGGTCTGCGAAGGCTCGCTTCAAGAATGCGGTCCATTCGGTGATCATGCTGCGGCAGGGAACGTCGTCCACTTCGCGCGGCCTTGGCTTGCCTCCACGTGTTCCCCGACGTCAAAGAACTAATTCCACTGAAGGCAATGGAAGTAAAGGCGGGACATCTTCGGAAGGACCTGTACACCTGCTCAAAGCATCGAGAGTTGCTGCTCTTGTCCCCAGATTGAGGGCATTGGAGACCACGCAGGATTTGGCTGCCCATCAGGCGCTCGTGAGGCATTTGCAGTTCTCGCCGAACGGGAAGTTCCTGGCGACGTCCAGGTAGGGGAATATCTATTTCGGTATGAGACCTCTAAGTGATGCTCTTACGCAGCTGGGACAGAACATCTGTCATCTTCCGCGTTGGGGTATGCTTTGGCCGGCTTAGTCTTGACTGTCGTACTGACGTTCTGCAGGAATCGTTCAGTTCACACCGCGTTCTTGCTCAACCTTCAGGTTTCGTTGGTCAAGTGGCATGGTATGATCTCCCATACTCTCAATGGGATTGACATCAAATAATCGTCAGGTCCCCGAATGGTAGCACATTATTGACGAAGTTGAATCGTGGGGTCAAAGTGTGGACAGAGGTCCGTCCTCAGATGACTCACGATTATATATTCCAGTTGACATCGTGTGCTCAGGACGGTGTCTGTAAGAAGACGATTGATCGGCGGCGTACCGTACAGTCTGTCGCATGGCTTCCAGCTGGCGAAGGTAATAATCAAAATCTCCTTTGATTGAACTCGTCCTCAATCGTTTGTATCAGCTTTCCTCTCCGTCGAGAGCAGTGAGGTTGTCAAGATGGTACGTTGCGCCATATACTCATCATCGCTCTACTCTGATGCATCTTAAATCACAGGATCTTAATGGCCAAGTCCGTGATGTTCTCTATTCATCTTCAGCACCGCTCACATCGTATCGTTTCAGATTATTGACAAGTATCACTTCGATCGCATGATGCTGCACGACGTCGCGGTGACCCAGGATTGTCAATGGTTACTGTGTGTTGGGACGCTCATGGCATCCAGTGATGGTTTGCACCCGAGCAAGTCTCGAGCTGAGAAGCAGATTATAGGTGAGTAATACCCACTACGCAGCAGTATGCGCTATCACTCACCGGAGCATTGTAGTGTACAATTTGCGCAAGAAGGATATAGAGAAGTAAGCATTTAAGCCATGATGTACGGTGATTCATTGAAGACAATGACGTACAGCCGTGTCCCTGTTCTGCACGATGTGCGTGATATCACTTTGGCTCGAGACGACCTGGTTGCATTGGTGAGCTACGAGAACAAGGTAGGGTTTCCGCTTCTGGCGCCTTGGATAGATTCTTATACTCTGCACTTCAGGCACCTCCGCAGCTGTGGAAGATAGACATATTCAAGGACAGTGCAAGGTTATCGTTGCGGCATACATACATGCCGAAGGTACCTGTGGATTTTGCCGGACCAAGCTACTTTGGAGGCAAGAAAGACCAACTGGTTCTATGTGCAGGGAAGGGTGAGCTACCACTTGCTATCAATCTCGCGCTTTGTGCTAACATCGCATCGCAGCTGGTGACATCCATATATGGGATCGCGAGTCAGCAGCACTGCTGCACCATGTCCGTGCACAAGCCCTGGGCGGAGACCTCACATGTATTGCTTGGAACCGTGCTATGGAACAGCCGTTCATGTTTGCCACCGGCAGTCACGATGGCGGTGTGCGAATCTGGACGACACCTAAGGACTCCCTAGCACCTGCCATGATGGACCTCAACATCCCTCCTAGCCGGACGACCACCAACCCCGTCAATACGCCTGAGAACACACCCCGCAGCCGCCCGCTATCATTGTACGGTATCCAACAGCAGACTGAGAGTCCGGAGGAAGAAACGACGTTTGAGTTGCAAGGTCCCATGGACGACTCGGCGGGTGCGGAGAGCGGTAACATTTGATTAGTAGTTTTTCTGAGCCCGATGTTGGTCATCCTTCACCATATGCGTGTGTATATTATCGATAATTACCACTGCAATGCTCTCGGACTGCTACTTGAGTAACGTAACTTGCGCATGATATAAGGAGGTAGGCAATCAATCTAATCGCGGGCCACCATCACGATCTCCGCATTATAAGCTCTCTTTCCTCTCATCGTCTGACTCGTCGAGCTTGTCTGCAACTATTCGCTTCTGTCATTTTTGCCCTGAGTACAATTACTGGCGTTGGCACCTGGTCATCTATCCAGCCAGGTCGGTCGTAGCAATTTCTCGAAGCGCCGCTTGCAAAGATGTGCGTCTTAACCACATATTTACCACTGATGAGTTTAAAAGAACAACCTCACACGACAGAAAACCAAGATGTCTTCGTTCTCTACGAGCCCTGAAGTGATTCGGATAGCCATCGTGGGCGTGGGCCTGGTCGGTGGCGAGTTCATCAACCAGCTCCTCCAATTCCCCGCACCCAGCCCCTTCCGGATTGTCGCCCTCGCTTCGAGCAAAGGCACTCTCTTCCACCCCGATGGCCTCAGCATCACGCTCACCTCATGGAAAGACCAGCTTGCGCGGTCAGGCCTCAAGCCCGACCTGGCTTTCTTGAGCCGGGAGCTGTTCGAGCTGGTCCGACCGGGGCAGGACGTGGTGTTCGTGGACAACACGTCCTCGAACGAGGTGGCGGCGATGTACCCGCAGCTACTGAGAGAGGGCATCCACGTCATCACACCGAATAAGAAGGCGTTTTCTGCGGAGATGGATTTGTACGAGAGGATCATGTCCGCGAGCCTGGAGAGCGGGGCACGGTTCCTAAACGAGGCGACGGTTGGTGCTGGCCTGCCCATCATCTCAACGTTAAAAGATCTGGTTGCTACGGGAGATAAGGTGCGTAGTATGATGTGAAGCTCTGGTTGCGTGATGCAGTGTTGATTTTCTGTTCAGGTCACAAAGATCGAGGGTGTGCTCTCAGGAACAATGAGCTACATCTTTAATGAATTCTCGACCGGCAAGGACGGTGGACCAAGCTTCTCCTCTGTCGTAAAGATTGCACGAGAAAACGGATATACAGTATGTATCTCCCACACCATGTATCTTGAAAGATGCCCGATCACTCTACTACAGGAACCACATCCCGCTGACGATTTGAACGGTGCCGATGTCGCGCGCAAGCTGACCATCCTATCCCGCTACCTTCCCACCCTCCGCTCTGCGCTCCCAGAAGGATACAAGTCCGTCAGCACGCGGTCTCTGGTACCGGCTGCGCTCGAGTCGGTGCAGACGGGCGACGAGTTCATCCAGCGCCTTCCCGAGTTCGACGTACAATACGATGCGATGCGCGCGGAGGCATCCCGTGAGAACAAGGTACTTCGCTTCGCCGGTGTGATTGATGTTGCATCGGGGACGATTAAGGCAGACCTAGAGAAGTAAGTGAAGCCCTTCATTGCTGCTGTCATGTCTGAGATGCCCATCTCTTTGCCATAGGTACCCGGTGACACATCCATTCGCTACGGCGCTGGGAGGGTCAGATAACATCATTATGTTCCATACGGAGCGGTATGGCGCGAGGCCCCTGGTCATTCAGGGCGCTGGAGCGGGTGCGGCTGTGACTGCCATGGGCGTCATGAGCGACTTACTGAAGCTCGTATAATGAATGATTTTACGACATCATTGATGACTTGGTGCTGCGATCATATCTTTTCCTCGGCTTCTTGTCTAAATCCGCACAGCGAGAAGCTGCATTCTGCGACTGGCTATCGTGCTTGCTCGGTGTTGATGGTAGTCTGCATCCGAGACTGTTCATCATGATTGTGTTGCACTCTGCCTGACAACATAGAAGAACGTTGACCGTTGCGTCGAACAGGAAATGCAATGCACAATGTATCTATACGCGCCGCAGTGATCTTCTGTAGAGCTTTGCACGCAAAGGTTACTTGGTCTGTAGGGATCATTATGTAACGTGAAGCCGCGTTAAGAGGCGATAACAATGTTGAAGCTGTTGCTGGTGCCTGATAGACTCGATCAAGAAGCAAGTAAAATGAACTGTACAAATCGGATCGAACCCTCTATTTCACCTCACCAACTCATCACCGTCACACTCGTTCAAATCCGGCTGTGCTCGAAGCACTGCTGGCAACGTTCACTATCTGATCTTCTCTGTCCACGTCTCATAAAATCTTCTATACGGCTTTACGTTGTCTCAGAACCCGGCGACATCCTCACTCGTGAATGGCGACACTCACCAGCTCGCGGACGGTCCCGGCATCTGTTCAAGCCACTGAAACGAGGCAACGAGAGCTATGGCACGCTTTGCAGTCGAGTATCCCATCTCCCTTCCCAACCCAGGCTCAGAGAGAGCAGGAAGAGCTCCTGCAAGACCTCGAGGAGGAGGAATTGCACATTGATGGTACAGATCCGTTTGACGACCAGTTCCATCTCGGTGCTGCAGAGGACGAAAGTGTGGCGTTAGTGAACAATGCAAGGAGCGGCGAGTCTCAAGTTGCAGACGAGCAGTTGCTTTCGGCTGCAGCGCAGTCCGTGTTGGGCGGGTTGGGAAGTAGGGCTGCACCGTCGGTGAGTGTTTCTTGCCAGTCCTTGAAACTCAAAGCTAGCCTTGTGCGGACCAGCGAGGGCTTGAACCCAAATACCCACATTGTGGGACTTTGGACGCTCTCGAGGCTAGCTTTACTTCTGTATAAGTTTTTCATGCTGATACTCTGCAGGAGGACCTCATGCCTTCAATTGCGAATGTACAAATGTCATGTATCACGACCCTCAACGATCTCTTGTCCACTCCTACTCGTTGGCGAAGAATTGTACCAGACCGCCGTCATTCCATGCCTCCACGTTCCTCATTACATCCGACCGCCACTGATGCGCCCTCATCCGCTCTGCAAACGCTCGTATTGAACCTTCGAACATGCGATCCCGATGCGCAACAAGGGTCTCCGTCTCTGGAGACGATGGATGACAAGACAATGATCCATGAGCTTCAGATGCACGTAGACCGTCTGGCCACTCATGCATTATCTGTGCATGATGCCGCCCTGGTGCGCACTCTGGCATCGCTCATTGAACATTTTCATTGTCTCGCAATCCTGCAGCCATCTCTGCGCCTGCCCTCCGCGCCTCGTGTGGCCTCGTGGGGGTCTGCAACCTTGCCTGTCACTCCTGCAGATCCTTATGCGAACCTTCGCCGTCAGCTTAGTGACTTTCGGCTAGCACGTGGAGATAGGTCGCCTAGCCCCGGAAATGTGGCCTCACCTGTGCTACAAGTTGAACAGGCGCTGCTGTGGGCGAAAGTGGATGAAGAGCTAGAAGACGTTCTGTCTCTCTGCCGTGCACGTACATCGGATGTAGATGTTCTCCCGCCAGAGTATGACAACTCGTGGTATGATGCAGAAGGCGAAGTCGAGGGGTTGCCGCAATACGAGCCCGGATCCTCCGCGCTAGCTGATGATCTCAAAGGCGGGTATCCCTCTTGTTCGAAGACCGGAGAGTCATCCAGCTCAAGTAGCCCCGTGGAGAGGAGTCCGATTCTTGGCGCCCACAATCGCGGGCTAAGCGAGAAAATGCGCATGGATCTCGAGGCGGTCACGCTCGCCATCGATCGCCTGTACCTCGTTGCGCCGCAGCTGCACGACCAGCGTGTGGAGCTGAAGAAATCCAAGGTTGAGCAAATGGAGAGGGCACGGCTCTCCGGGGCGTCGCGGAAGGGGAAGGAGCGTGAGATAGACGAGGCGAGGGAATTAGACAAGATGCTGGAGCTGATTGGAAGGGCATCGGAGAGGAAAATGCAGGACCAGGTGGTTGTGATTGAAGGCGGAATGCAGGCCAAGCTGGAGAGGGCGAGACAGCGTGAGCGCGAGAAGGTCAGTGTTCGAAATTCTGCATAATAACGGGGATTGACGTCAGGCATACATTGATTAGAGAGACGAGTTCGTCTCGCAGCTTGTGCAGCATTCGGAGTCGGGACGTTTGCATTCTCAAGATGCGGTCCTTACACCGTCGGGCTCGGCTCGCTTCAAGGGCAAAGATCCAGAAGCCATGCTCACCCTGCCAGAGTTCATCCGTGAGACCATCCCTGACTCTGTTCAGCTAAAGATGCAAATGGCCGACCCATGCGCGCTGCTAAGCCTGCCCGAATTTGTGAAGGAACCTGTGCCACAGGATTTTGGCAATCTGTCTGCACTCCCGCCGCCTCGGAGGTGGAGATCAGGCAAGGACACGCGGAGCAGGAGTATGTCTGCGCCGCCACTGGCGTGGTTAATGCCGTCGTCTTCCCGGTCATCTTCGCCTGGTGCGACGTCCTCGGGAGAGTCGAAGAAGACGCGGTCGTCTAAGGCGCGGCGGGTGGGTTCGGCGATTGCATCGAATTCGTCACTTCAAGGTAACTGCTTAGTTTGTACGCTGCGTAGAAATGGGCTGAACTTTCTATTGTAGCTGGTCTGGAAGTGACCTACGTGGCGGAGTACCACGAGAACCTGCAGCATGTGTTAGTGTTCCTGACCGTTTCGAGGATGATCGCGGGAGTGAATCTCGAGGCGGAGGTGGTCCCTCCAACTGTCATGCTCAGCAAGGGCAATGGCCCCAACGAGCGTCTCGTGCTGAAATGCGGCCTTAATACATCGCCCTTCCTCCTATTACCAGCTCGGGCCTCGCCCGGCAAGAAGGAGGTGAAGGTCGATGGACAGGCCTTCCAGATAAAGCTCGCCGCCACTCCCTCAGAGCAGAATTTGTCCTCTCCTGCAGCACTTTTGGACGCCTCTCGTCTAGCAGAGTTTCGTCCGACGACGTTTATCTGCGCATCGTGTTCGCTGCCCCTTGTACACTGCTCGCGGCTTCGTGAGTATCGCGACCTTCCCTCGGAGCACTGGGCCGAACTTGTGGATGCATGGATGTGCCATTCGGATCAAAAGCTGCACGAAGATGTCATGAAGCACTCGAATGAGGGTTTCTGGCCGGGGGAGGGCGAGGCCCTCGTTGGCGGGAGCTACATTCTCTTCGAGCAGTCTGCCATTGCGCAGCATAATCTCTGGCCGTGTAGCGAAGAAGACGATGGGAAGGTGCGTAAACTTCGATTTGCGATACATTATAAGCACGTAGTGCAGGACGAAAAGAAGGCCGACGTTGGCTGTCTACCAACGGCTGTCGAGCCTGTGCATTGGCAGGCATTCTGTGCGCGCGACCGAAGCCCTCGCTGGTTTTGGTCGTCGTGCCGGGACGCTGCGCCGTTGTGCGGGACGGCGGCGGGATTCGCTCCTTTGGCTGATACAAAGCGTCCGAGAGTAACATAAGCCTGGCTGCTTGCTCAACAACTCTTGAGTTTCCGAGGTCCACGTCTCGAGAGCTACATGCGAGGGCACATTCGTTCAGATTATTCCTCCCCCTTTCTTTTCTCACGCGCTGTTGCCATAAAGCGGTGCTGACGCTTGCTTCTCTACAGCGTGCGGATGATTGGCAGCGGGTCCGCTGTATTTGTGGCGCGGTTGTTGGGCGGTCGCAGGAACATCGGTCGCAGGACGGTTCGCGGTCCAACGTCTACAGGATGGCCAAATACGCTATCCGGCCCGTGAACCCCAAGGCAGAGTGCGTCCCTGAAATATGTTTTGTCTTCCATGTATGTAATCAACGAGATCATGCTCTAGTTCCTGCAAGATTCCTCTGTCTGCGTTCATCGCGGAGGATATGAACGAGTTCGTCCACGCGCATGCGACGTACCGCTTCATCATCTTCGATGAGGAGGAGGAACGACCGCGAATCTTGGTGAGTGGCTGCCCATGCTCAAAGTCCCTGCTCTTACACTGCTATGAATCAGATCTGGCTGTTTAAGCCCAGCATGCGGATAGCGTATACAACGCCGGCCGAGTACGTAATCACCAAGAGCGGGTCTATCCATGCCGCGAAAGTACTCTTCAAAGTCTTGGGGCCATCCATGGCATACTCAGATCTGCAGGTGTAAGCATTCCGATGTGCCTGTAGTCGTTGCATGCTCATGCAGCCCGACAGAGTCCTCAACAAATATCCAGGCTTTCCGCAAGCGGAACACCTGTACTACCCGCTGGACATCTGTCGTCGTCTTGCTGGGCTCCTCAAGGAGAGCAACACTGCGTACCCAGAGGGCATGCGTACCATGACTGGCCTGGATGTTGGTTGGCTGCAGCGTGCATGAGCAATCTCACTACAGTATATCTTTCTACTATCCAGCACCTCCAGAGTCCATACTCGGTGGTACAATGTTATGTGCAGTGCACGTTATAGAGGATGTTCTGTTTTCATCTAGAGTTAGTAATCGTTCCTGTATATATGTGTATAAGATACGTGTTGATCGCTGTGTGCATTGCTCGGATGGAGTCATACGGCCTCAAGGCCTCATGCGTCATGGCTGATGCATCGACGAGTAATAGCGATAATCTTCAAAGGAACCAGCCAGTTCAACTACCTTCACAACTTTCAGCTGTCAGGCTCATATACATCCTAGAGATGAGTACAATACACGTTCGTAGAAGCCGAAGATACATAGTAGAAACTGCTACAACATTACGATAAACGCACTGAAGCCTTAACGCACGCTTTACTTGGCTCCCGCACTCGAGAACTGTAGCAGCAAAGTGAGTCATCTCAATGCAAGGATAAGACACATGCGACGTGCCTTGGTGACGGACTTGGTGCCCTCAGAGATAGCGTGCTTGGCAAGTTCACCGGGCAGGATGAGTCGCACAGCCGTTTGAATCTCACGAGAGGAGATAGTCGACTTCTTCGAGTATGATGCGAGCTCTGTCGATAGTATCATCAACATGAACTTATCTGAACACGCTAGGGGCGCTGAAACGCACTAGAGGCCTCGGTGGCGATACGCTCAAAGATATCGTTCACAAACGAGTTGAGAATAGCCATTGCCTTGTTTGAAATACCAGTGTCAGGGTGCACCTGCTTGAGCACTACAGACAGCACAACAATTGGACCTCTCAGTCGAACGCCTTTCACTGGTCATTGCAGAGTACGCACCCTTGTAGATGTAAGACGAATACGTCTCCTTGCGACCTTTTCGCCTCCTCTTCTTCGTCTCCTCACCAGCGGCAGGTGCAGGCTTCGAAGTCTTCTTCGCACCCTTCGCACCCTCTGCGGTTGTCTTCGCAGGAGCCTTGGACGCGGTGGATGCAGGAGCCTTTCCGGCAGTGGACGCAGGTTTGGGAGCCATTATATATCAAATATTGAGGTAGACTTGGACTGTGAGTACGAAAAAGGCACAGGACGTAGTGGTTGAGGGACAGGGTGTCCTATTATCGACATGCGAATTCCAACGCCATATATACTGTGACGTTACAAGCTGTGATGTCGACTGTGACAAAGTGACCGTTCGCGTCCGTAAGACGCGCCCCATGCTGTCTATCCACAGTCCATGTCCATCCATTTCTGGAGTTTCTTTCATGCTCAATGCGCAAACGTTTGCAACGTCTTTCTGGCTCTACGCTCTCTGTAGTCATCTTGGCACGTCGGATATGGTGATCTGTTTGGCCTCAGGTCTCAATGCGATGGTGGTTCCACTCGAACAACAGGCCTTAATATCTTAGCTCCGGCATTGTATACATGACGCGAAATTGTCTTCTTCTGTAGCAAAGTCACAGTCTACCAAAGTGTGCAAGATATGTGTCGTCTCGCACTTGCTCCGCCACGCGAGTCGCTCGAGGGCCGTGGGCGCCAATCGACGGTATATCTTAATAATCAACACCTTGTATCTGCTATCTGCTCTACTCTCTCGACCAAGGCCATACCCACATTTTTCGGTGCGTCTCTAAACTGAACATGATCATCTTTCGCCCGCCCGCTCAGTAGGATCTACCGCTCGTTTTGTAGCATGGCCACATCTAGTCCGCGGGTGCCTGCCGAGATCAGTGACTATATAATAGATCTCTTGCGAGACGATCGAGCGACGCTGTCGCTATGTGCTCTCACATGTCATTCATGGCTCCTCAGAGCCCAAAAACACGCATTTCGCAAGGTGTCCCTCGTTAGCGCTGAACGCTATGAACAGCTCGAGTCGCTCGTCCTGAGCAATCCAAGGATCGCATCGCTGATATTATCCCTTTCGATTGGGCCAATCCAGGATCCTGTTGGCGGCCGCCTAGATCGCGAATGGCCGTTGGTCCTCCTGAAGCTCAATGCGGTCGATGAATTGGACGTGGTCGGATGGGCTGCTGGTTGCGTGTCTGAGAAGGTCATTCGACACTTGCCCGTGCTCTTTTCAGAGGTTAGGTCTATCCGACTATCTCAAATCCACTTTTGGCGACCAAAGGCTTTCGACCTGTTCCGAATGCTATGTGCATGCCCCAAACTCTCCGCACTTTACCTGGACAGGATACAATGGCAGCAGTTGCACGGCGGGCGCGCCGGGCTGTTTTTTATAACGAAGAACGTTCCGCTCGGTTCTGTCCTCGCTGAAATAGTACCCAAGCAGCCGATGTACATCGACACTCTTCAAGTCACAGTATGCCATCGCAGTATCGCGTTGTGGTTGATACGAGGCCCACTACATCTTCATGTCCGAAGGCTTACGGTATCTTGGAGCCAACAGCCTGCAACGCTCATCGTCTTGCATAGCCTGCTGCAGGCAGCTGGGGATTATCTTGACGAACTGACTCTTGAGCTCGACGCAAGATCCTTCAATGCACGTACTGAATCAACGTTGTCCCACCTTGACTTCTCGCAAAACCCTCGTTTATCCTCGCTCCATGTCGTCTTCGATGGCGTCGAGAGCGTGGACCTTCCCCATCTAGTTGTCGTCCATTCTCTGCTGCGCGTAGTGCACCGCGAGTGCCAGGCCCTCCGACGGATCACCATCAGCCTGAGCCGGAATGACTGTGACCCTGCAGTTATCGCCACTCTGCAGCGACCGCCGAGTGTGCGCGCTGCAGCTTGGCAGTATGTCGACGCTGCGTTGGCGACCTTGGCACATGGTCATCCGGGAATAACCATCACTATAAAGGTAGACTGGACACAATCCCCAATTTCGTGGGCGGAGGAAACAGCGGGTCGCATCATTGAAAAATTACCTAGCATTCGGCGTGCCAGTTGTCAACTACAAGTGATATGTGGACGGTCTCAAGACAAGATATCCATATTCAGAGGGTTGTCAGGTGGATGGCAGGAGTTTCACAAGGAGTATCCTTGTCCGTAGGTGGAAAGGATGCTGGCTCAGTAGCGTCTACCCGTTACCAACCTGTAAGTATTCCAGATAGGATTATAGGCATAGACACTTAAAATGTATTCTCATTCATTCCCAGAGGTTCTTCGCAAGTCAGTCAAACGTCGAAGCTACTGATCTTCAGATGTCACGAATTCTTCGAAGGCCACAACGCTAACGTGACTGTATGTGCTTAGGTACCGGATGCAGTTGTGGAGGAACATGGCGGCACAGCAACACTACCGCCACCAACATGCGTCCCACGAACAACAGCAGCCAAGTTCGAGCTCATCGCCGAGCTCGTCTTCCTCCTCGTCGAGTCACAACTCAAGCTCCAGCCCGAGCGGGCTCGCGGGCAGCCTGCGGCCGCACGTTTTCACGAAGCAACTAGCATCGCTCTCCATATTACTCTCTGGCAAGCCGGCTGCGGCCTCCTATCCCTCAACGTTCGCCTCGCCTCTCGCTTCGATTACCAACAAGATGCATGCCGCCGCCGATGCCTCAGCAGGCAATGCTTGCAAGCGCTGCGTTGCAGACGCTGATGCAAACGCTGGGCTCGCCGTTCTGGGATGCGTTCGCGGCGCGCCTTGCCGGCAGCAAGCGTATGCCCAACTGAATACAAATAAGGTCAGGCGCGTCATGGAGGATTACGCGGTGCTGTGCGTTGTGATTGTCGAGCCACAGCCATCGGCATCGGCAGCGAGGATGCAGATGCATCTCGAAGAAGTAATCGTCGCGTTTCTGAAGCCTTCTACCTCTGCATTGGCAAGGGAGATGGCAGTCGAAGCCGAGGGGCCAAGCAGGAGGAGATGTGCGAATGAATCGAAGTGAATGCCGAAATGAGAAAAACGCTTCTTGGATATTATGGACAGGACGTGTGCTGCGCTCGTGGTGGCGCAGTCTCTGTTGCTCTCGCTACTTTCGTTCCTGCCTTTATCGCCTCGTTCCTCTTTCCCCTTCTCTTGCTATTCAACTCCCGTGTCCCCTTTGGTATCGCCCACAGCATCGAACCAATCCCAACCCCTCCCTAGCTATTTCAACCTGATACGGTCATTCATTCTCGCATCCCCGTCCCGTTCCCTGTTACTCGTCATCGTGTCCCTCTCTGCTCTATTGTCAAATTTCGTTCGTTCGCCCTTGTATATGAGCTGTGTAACCTGCTTGAAGTTCTGGCGCCGTAACGTCCTGAATAGTGCTACGACGTCGATACTGTATAAATGTTGCTTAGAAGAAATGCAGGTGTCAAACATGTCAGCGGGAGTTTCGCTATACCCGGCGGCGTTTTCTCAAACTTTACAGCTTCACGAAAGTGCAATTACTCTGGGAAGGGACTATTATGAATTTAAGTGCAGAGAAAGGTGGTCATTACGAGCGGCAGGCTGACATACGTAGTAATAATACATGGTAGGTTACTTCGGTCCAGTCTTAGCGAATCAATAGATAGTCTGTGAATATACACACCCAGTCCGCTCCGTCCTCGCTCAGCTCCATTGCACGCCCCAGCCCAGCGCCTCAAACATGACCGGGATGACCCCACAAGCAAGCAAGCCGATACCGCAGTACACAATGACCTTGGTCAGCACTGCAGACGAAAATCTACCGTCAGCGTGAACGTCCACGAGTGACATGTGCCCGAGACCTACCGTCTGCATCGTAATGCTTGACGATGTCCTGCTTTTCACCGTTTTCCTCGTCCAGATCAACCGGATATTCTTCCTTTTCTACAGTCCCAGGCACAGACAAGCCCGTCTGGCGGCCCTTGTTGCCTCTGAGCTTGACGCTACGCTCACCGTAGATGTTGTCATATCGCAGACCGCGCACGCCGCTCGCGCCGCCACCGTCCGTCTCCATCTCCATCATGCCCGGAAGGTCGATCACGGATGGGATCGGGTGCAGCCCCGTCTCGGGCGGTACGTTCTTATAGTCCGTCGCGGGCGTGTAGAATCGCCGATGCGGGAGCGTGAACGCATGCGAGAGCAGCCGGAAGAGCGGCGGCAACACGAAGTGTGACATGTTCTTCGCGAAGATGCGCCATATGAAAATAATCAGGATGCCTACGGGGTGATGTGATTAGCGTGGGATACTTTTAGGGGCACGGCGGGCGACTCACCGACAGTCATCTTGGCAACGGCGACGGTCCACCAGGTGAGCGTGTCGAGCCAGCTGCCCCACGGACTGCCAGGCATAACGTGTACGAAGTACTCATCTCCGTAGCCGTTGTGCAGCATATACCATCGCGACAGGATCTCACCCAGCACGACCGAGATGAACGCGATCGCATCCTCGAAGCACGGGCAGTCGTCTATCGGCTGCGGATGCCAGTGAACGGACAGCAGGCAGAGCGGAATCGTCACTGCAGGTACTGCAGGAATGGACAGATTTAGAGCTACCTCGAGGGATAAACTTCAATGTGCTCACCGATCCAGCCAGAATCCCTGACCCACACATGCAGCCATCCACTGAAAAGTTGATCGAATGCCCAGACTCCGACTCCGAGTAGCACACCGACCGCGCAATCCGTGAATGAGTGCATGCCTGTATATAGCCGGCCATACACGATCGAGAATACGTAGAACAGAAGTACGCCAGACAAGACACGGTATGTGGTATCAGATACCATCGTGTCTACGCCGGGCGTGGCAGACATGTGTTCCAATGCCGAATGTGTAGAGCTATACATGACGTTGAACACGGGGAAGCGAGCAGATGACGGGGTAACGTAGGCGTGTTGAAGGAGCGAATAGAAGAACAGCGCAATCGAGACGCTGTTCGCAGAATGTGTCGATGGGAACCCGTACTCGAGATGATGGTTACCGATAGCTTCGGAGCGAACTGAGTGGGCATCTTGGGTCTATAGAGGCAATACGACTTACTCAGTCTCGTGACAGGCGGAGCGAACGGCCTCGGAGAGCAGACTGAGTCTTTGATGAATGAGGCCATATAGACTCCCAGTGCGAGGACCATAGGCAGTCTATTGATAACATTCATGCCGGTAGCAGGCGAAACATCAGCAAGACCGGTGAACAGAACACACGAACTAGAACATACCCACGCCCAATAGATCCGTACCCGAAGAAGATGAGTGCGGGCAGGATTACCATGAAGAAGGTATGTGTCCCAAGGGAGGATGTGTACACGAAATACACGTCCAGGAACGGACGACGGACGTAGGCCTGCGCAAAAAATCAGCACAAATACTCTCTCTGGAACATAGGAGAAAGCATCATTTCATAACGAACATGGGGACAGACGGCAGTTCGCAAGTTGCACTCAATTCACATGACATTTCATGTGCATAGCGGCGGGTTGGAACACAGTCGACGACGACATAATGGGCCTGACACTAGGCATTTCAAACAGCACGAGAGGTTCGAATGTGGGCAGGTCTGTCTTAACCAGGTGAGCCGATACCATTCGGTCATTAAGCCAAGAACGTGTAGAAGCTCTGGGTATAGCCCGATGCACACTGAGGTTGCATGCTCACCTGCATCTTCGCCAACACCTCCGACTCCCATGCAACGTTCTGTCGCACTCTTTTATGAACGGTAGCCCTCCAGCTGTTCATCGTACGCTCGTAAACCTCTTTGGGGAGTAGACCGATGCCCACAGCGGTCTCGTCATCTCCGTCTCCATGCGTCTCGCGGTCCGACCCAGATGTGTTGTTCTTCTCGTGCCAGACTGCATCAGAAGCATCCAGGGAGGAATAGCAAGCGTCAGAAACACTGCTAATGTATGAAGGTAACTCAGAATTGGTGGTAGAAGGATCCTTGTGATGAGTTTGATGAGTGGGGATGCCCACCGCAGGACTTTGCATATCAGAGAGCGGCGGATTCGTGGTAGCGGTCATGATGGTCGATGAAAGCAAGTCGAATGTAAGCTATTTTCTATATATTCAAATGGCGACGGGCATCGTGACTAACCTCCGCATTTGGTCTGAGTCTGATTTCTGACACTGAGCGCACGCCACACCATCTTTCTGTGGCATCGGGTACATGATGGTAGAATTCATATATTGATACAGATCTCGACTACGTTCTCTTGGGCAGCATAATTTTACAGCAGAACATGGTCTCGAAGCGAGATTTGGTGGAACGTCACGGAGGTCACGCAATCCACGGATTCATACGTTTCTCAACTACTAGCCCGGAGTCTGTCCATTGCAAGCTGCGGCATGGCTAATGCAACCTTTGATCAACCACAACACATATAGTTCACGTTCAAGATGATAACGCGCACTGTGCATCAGATTGCCTTCTCTCTCAGGGTTTTGGCTTGTACAAACCAATAAGGTGACATCAAGAAGCTCTCAACCAGAAGAAAAGTTCAAAAAACAAGGAGGTCCTGAGACTATCTTGAACTCTCTGTGCTTTTTGGTGATAGCAAGCAGGTAAAAGTGTCATAAGCCGGATTTCAGTTTTCCTGATGATTTGCCAGTAGCGTCTACCCGTCACCAACTGAGAGATTCCAGGTATGAAAATATGCGCGCATATTCAAAACGTGTTCTCATTCACTCCCAGAGGTGCTACGCAAGTCAGTCAAATCTCGAGACTCCTCATCTCTAGATGTCACAGATTCGGATCGGGTGCGATGAAGCGCTGTGAAAAGAAATACACTGAACGTACTACCCCGGACGAACGTGTTTCGTCTTAAATTGAAGCACACTTAGCGAAATCGATTTCCGAGTATACCAATCCTCATCCGTTCGGCTGTTCTGTCCCCGCCCGGTCATGAAATGATCAGAAATGCTTCCGATGCCTTCGAAGAATCATAACAGTCCTGGCCTTGCATGCTTCTTGATGTCCTCGCAAGGAAGGTCAGGAAAATGAGCCCAGATATAAAAAGGTGTGCCAAATGAGCATCAAAAACGCCTCCCTCAAGCATCTGTTCATCGGTTCGCGACGAGCCTGAGCCCTCAATTGCTTCTGTCCATACCTTGACTTAAACTGTACTATGACCAGGTGAGTGTATCGCATCCCGTTCGCAGTCTTCTGTCTGATCCGCTGCGCAGAACCATGAACGGTCCCCAGAGCACCAGATATAGCCACCTCTCACAGATGGAACGTCCAAGGTTCGCCAGATGCTCTTAGCAGTGTCATGCACTGCTGCCGAAGATCGACTGCGCCGTACTACTGGATTAGCACTTCCAACCTTGTTAGCCCGGTGGGCGTTGGCTGCAAATCATCCGCTGGATGTCCCTGAACATGTCGAAATCCTAAGATACGAAGGCACACCCGAAGATGTGCTCAGCTATTTCGGGTTTCTAGATATCGAGGTTCGCCCGGAGCGAATATCGGTGCTCGGGACCATATCCGTTCAGTTGTCCATCGAGCTTGCATGTCGGTGAGGGCGAACGGTTCGCTACTACAAGAAAGGTACCGGATGTATGTATTGGCTGTTGGTTTTCATGCAGACTCGTCAACAATCAATGGATAGGTTGCGGCGGACATCTTAGAGACTGCATGGAAGGAGACATAGGCGGCGAACAACAAATTCCGGGACGGTCTCGTCCCCTAATCCCTTCCCTCGCGTCAGACAATTCTACCCCTCATGAGTAAATGCAGTCACCTTCGTGTTGATAGCGTGTATGCTTCTTATTCAGAAGCGATGTATAGTAGATGTTAGGTACTGCCAGAAGTCATCTTCCGAGCGATTCGTCCTTCCGGTTATGAATGATCTATAACGAGCCCATGACTTTGGCATCCGGTCCTCTTCTTCACCATTACCGTCGACACATCGCATAGCCAGTGATTCCACGCAAGCAGGGTAGAAACCCGCTGAGCCCCAGTCTATGAGCCACAGCACGTTGTTCTTGTCCAGCATGATGTTTGTTGCATTGAGGTCGCCGTGAGTGAAGACGAGAGTCCAGGACCATCGCTCAAGGGAGGACGGCTATGCATAGCATGGATTTTCCTATGTTTGCGTTCGTAGGCAGTCTTCCATCCTACGAAAGAGACCAGTTCGCAGAAGCGACGAAACCGACGGACAGAATCAAATGGACCGCGCTCTACATGATCAAAGACGACACCACCAATCATCCCGTCCGTAATGCCACCTGCTCTTTCTGACGTTATTGAGCGAAGTTGATTAACATAAAGTCGTAGCGTGCAAGCAATGCGGAATTTCATGAAGGCGCTCTGCTCGTTCCAACATTCGTAAAGCATCTGACCATCGACACGGTCCATGATCAACCATGAGAAGTGGTTGTGGTATGCGCGAGGGATCGGTATGCTTGTGTGTTGACGCACGTATTCCATACTGTCTCACTCTGAAGACGTTGCATCCTTGGCAATGAGAAAAGGCGTGATGAGGTGACTAGGAACACCTTGGTCGGATCCTCCTGCGTTCAAGCGTTGGAGGAGACTTTTGTCCCAATCTTTGACTGCAGAGCTGTCCATGAGGTGGATGACTTCATCATCGCTTTCAATTAATGGTACGACAGGAATGTCCTGTAAGTAACTGAGTTTGGAGATGAAACATATAACGGAATGAGCGAACCTGTTGCTGTCGAGGATGAGGCAGCACAAACAATGCGATTATGCCATCCAGAATGGAAGATATGAGGGAACCTGCACCCGATGACAGACGCTCGACGAATGTTCTCTTCAGAGGGGGAACGGGATAGAGGTTACAAACTGCTCAATGAGAGAAAATCAGATGTGAACTCGAAAAGTTGATATGTAACAAACCTATTGTCCCCATGAGATCCTCGATTCCATCCCCCCTCATGTTGCTTACAAGCACGTAGTCGACATCATAATAATATCCAAAACGGCAGGAATACTCGCGATTCGTCAGTTCTGGATGGCAATCTTCCTGAATCAAGAGATCGCTTTTGGTGCCCACGACGCACAATGATTGCTTGCGAATATATGCCTTGTAAAGCAGCTCTCCCGGATAGCTAGTGGGAGTGCTGGCATCGAAGATGATAAGCAACATGTTTGCGAATTGTGACTTTCCATCAACGACAGAAAACCGGAACTCAAACCCATGTCCATGGGAAAAATACACTTTATCGTTCTGTTGAACGTTGTAGGCAGTCAATTAACCCATGGGCGCAGCGTCGTGTATGTGCACTCACCAATCGCGCTGCCAGTGACATTTTCCCAGTTGCTTGCTTGCCTTTAATCGAAATCGCATTATGCCCATGAGCGCCACCTTTTCTCTGAAGCAGCATACCTGTTATCGCTATGTAGATCGTGTGTGCTGGCATAGCTGGCCCTAAGAGGGATGCACCGCGCTACTCAGGCTGGCGGTGCGGGACCTTTGAGGTAGCAGCAGATCTAGGTGCCACAAACATTCGGCCGGTGGGCGTTCATTCAACGACGGTCAAAAGACGATATCCGCAGTAAACGACAGGCTCCTCAAGGCCTCAGGTCTCAACACTGGTGGATATTGAACTCCCTTGTTACAAGCATATTCTGTCAGAGAAGGCACTGCAACAGTTCCGACGGGCCTTCAGGGCAGCGGAGCATATCAACGTCACTCAAGCTTAGCGAATAGTAGGCAATGAGAATATTTCGCGCCATGACTGATTAACAACTCTAATTTCAATGGAACGACTACCAGTTCCACGTCAGGGATTTTTTGGACAACAGATTTTGTATCCGATCTGCCTTGAGCCTCTGTGGAAGTGCAAACTCGAAACATCAATTGGAAGTATTCCCGACAATGAAATGGAAATCCAGAATTTTGATAAACAACCAGAACCGAACTTGACGCTGCGCCACCGTTCAAGTGATATCATACGAAGCGGTAGCTATATCACAGCGGCATATCAGTGATACATCAATCCTACGTGGCAAGAGATGAACCGGGAGATTTATAAAGGCTTTCAACTCGACATAATACGTGGATGAGATCTCTCAACCGGCCTTGCGCAATAAGTAGCATCGTATCTTCTAACTATCAGAAAGTAGCGCATAGACTCACTGACGCCTTATTCTGTAATAGACAGGTAATATGTGAGCGAGAGAGAGCCACACCTGTGAGCCGTCATGAGATTGGCACAAAACGAAGAAGACCGTGCGCACATTATACCAGACGTATGACGCCTGATCGTTACGAATCGTCTTGAAAGCGAGAAAACGATACCCGAGAGCTATCGCTCCAATCAAGAGCCTGATGCCTATGCTCCAGGTGATCCTCCAGACTTGTATCAGAACCATGGTCCATATAGTCAGACTGGGAAGCATGGTCCATCGCGCAACTGAAGGAAACAAGAGTGGAATTGTGATTCGGTTAACAAGCTGGTCGCCTCGGATGTCTTTGAAGTCCTGCGCGTGTATGGTGGAAGCGATAATGGCTGCGCTGAGACATACTGACATGAACGCAGTGCAATCTAAACGATGTATTCCTCCAGCTGTAAACGTATGAATTTTTTTTAGAGAAGCCAAATGATTGCAGCACGACGCACCTGCGACAAGTGTCGCTCCGACCTCAAACGCCGCTGTACCCGCGGCATTGAGCAAGTTGCGTGCTAACCAACGGCCGTGTAAGTGGAGTTCGTTGTAGAGCAGGCTCATGAAAACGAGCGCCACACTAGCCAAGAGCACATCCGTGCCGTGACTCCATGATAAGGTGAAGCAGCACGGTACGAGTAGCCAATGCACAACGCGTGCTGCTCTCATTGAAACGCGCTTCGCCGGAAGAGGTCTCCATGGCTTGTTGATCTCGTCCTCTTGTATATTCAGTGACTGGTTTGACACGTCAAACTGGAGCAGGTGTATCCAAGTCCACATTATGCTGTGAACGACCCTCGTGACCTCGAGTGTAGGAGATACAGCCATGGCTAATACAGTCTGAGATTCGTTTGTTAGATTTTCAACATGATGGGTATAAATAGAGACGACTACTGACGACAGGTATCAAGGTAGTCTTGAAGTCGGACTTGGTGAACAGAAACACGGTGCATATGTGATACAGAAGTGTGCCCATGGGTGAAAAGAGAGGCTGAATCAAGAGAAACATTGGTAAAACCGGCTCGACCTGCAGTCACATTGGCTGAAGTGTCATTTATAGTTCACCACAACACGGTGGGCACATGATGGGAAACCCTTCTACAAAGATATCGCAGAGCGAAGTCATTTCTAATAGAAGTTCCAAGAAGCTAACATCCAGTGATAGATGAGACTTTAGAATCAGATGGTCGACTGTCTAAATTGCGATGAATAGCATCCCAGTGCTTACTGAATATCCATCCATCACGGATAGAAAAGCGCAGCACGATGGGTTCAAGCAAAATCTCCGGATACGCGGAACGGGGTCTGGACAGTGATGGAAGACTGAAGATGGATGAGCCGTGGAAGCAGGAGTAAATTTGTATTTAGAATGTCAGCCTTCACGTAGACTTCAAGTGCACAGCGCTTACTACATGGTGAAGGGATTACTATCCACAATCGAGTGGTACCTGCGTTTCAGAATTACATGCCTCTTCATGATAAATTGCGTAGAATTTGCAAATCCATGTTATATTCCATGTGAATATGTCTGGCATTGGCGAGGTAAACGTATAGCTAATGGAATGATAGATAGTGTAGTGTCATGCACCCAAGACTGAGACTTTGGCACGGGTGCTGCGAGCTGCATTTTTGTGTTGTGAAGAGCACTTCAAGCTCATTTGAGAGAGTCCGGAGAATTTCGCGAGAACTTGCATAGGCGTCCTGCGTTGATGGCAGATGCATCACACCGGGGGCATGGGCCCATGATTCCGCCCGAAACATTTTGGACACATTGTAATAACAGTCCAAATAATTATGCAATGTTTTGAGTGCATACATTTTGAAATCATTTTGAATGTTTTAAAATGTTTAAGGCATCAACATTGCGGCACAATTTTGATAGCATTCATAAAGATGCAGGAATGAGACCCCAATGCTGCAGATGACAGCATTCAAGCATTATTGCGATAGCATCCTAAATGTTTCTTGGGAGAAAATCTCAAATGATACCTGTGAGTGGCCATGATGTCTTCAAGATGTTCCCAATGAGTTCATTGTGATCACATAATTGTTATTACTATATATAGTAATGTGCTAACCATATTAGGACATCTCTGATGCGTTCAAGATGATTCCAGCCGGCACATGATGGAAAGCATCTGGTACTCATCGTAACATCACATTGATCACATTTGTAATGTACCCTTAAGATCCTTTCAAAATGATACCAACATATTATATGAATGCTGGCCGGAGCAAAACTGTTGTCTCATTCTGGTGTCTTTCTGAATAATATCACTATTATTCCACTATGAGCCCACTCGAAATAATTCAAATTATTCTGTGATGTTTACATCAGTAACATTAGAGTTACATTGTGACTGTGATCGTGATGTGTCCAAAATGTTCCCGGCGGAATCATGAGCTCATGCCCCCGGTGTCATGGACGGAAATGGTCATCTCTGGATGGCTCTGGACATCAGACGAATGTGAGAAGGACACTCAGAGTTGAAACAGATTGAACATGAACATTAGATGGTCGACCATGCATCTGCCGTGAATTTACGCACCTGTTCCTGAAAAATCATAAATTTGAGACATCCGAACAGCCTGAACGACCAAAGGACACTACCTGCTCTCTTCTTCCAATCTTTCCTGAAACACATGGCATTTTATGTAGACTGCTATCAACAGGAGATGGCCGAGGAGGCACCCATAGACAAGGGACATGATAATAATAACTACAGGGATCGAACAGATGGCTTGAATATGGCTAGCGTCGGCGGCGTTTGCGCCCAAGGCATTGGCTACCGTCATATGTAGGACGCGCTTTCAGAGTTACAAAGCGATTTCATCTCCGAAAGGCGTCAACCGCATCTTGTATGACATGTCGGTGGCTGACGAGTCGTTATTCCTTTATACTCGTCGTCCATCATTACACTCATTTCCCATGTATGATATAGCAGAATATGCGGGTCAAGACTGCCATAGCTCCTGTATGGTACAGGCGAGGGTCGCAGGGACTCATTTTGCTCTGGCGCTGTAGTCATATCAAACTCAGAGTCACAGGGCAGCACCGCAGCAACCACTTGTAGATATGCCATGGTCATCCGATGGTTGCGCAGATCATGCGTATCCACTAACCTCTAAGACATGCCCATCAAGGCGATGCGCGTCTGACAGATGGGTTTGAAGCAAACCCAGTGATGTTCCTTCCCTCAAAGAAGTCTGCATGGGGGATATCACGCAAGGCGTTGGCTCTCTGGCACTCAAAGTTCATGATTTCCAATCCACAACAGGCGGATGGACTGTTCTCGTCTTCACGGTGTGAGAGTTGGTAATCGGGTGCATGCAGCTTGCGCAAACAATTAGGATGATGATCAGGCTGCCACTCTTCCTCCAGGCCTAGGAAGATCCGAGCTGACCTTCGCGCTGACAGTTCCGCGAACATGACACAAAGTGATAAATGGGACGGAAAATTACGTCAAGGAATTGAATGTTGCTCTAAAGCCGCTGCTGATTGGAAAAGTCGAAGATTGAATGGCAGACCGATTGAAGAACAAATTTTGGTCTCGGACCCAGACAGATAAACCTCGAAGGTCTGGGTACGAGACCAATGGATTTGGCGCATAGCGTGGAACTTCTGGTATGCTTCTTTTGATAGTTTCGATCAGACCACTGAGCCCTCTGATGTGGAAGACGTCTGCATTCTACTATCAGAACAACAAGGTTGCTGTTCCGAGTGCAGTGGCTCTACCTCTGACTCCATCTTCACAGCGTCATGTGTTCTAGAAGTTTCAGAACGAGCGCTGCGGACAGCTGCTGTGTGCCAGCATGATGCATGATGCACTGGCATTTTTATCTTAAAGATCTTGTCCATTCGCTACTTTTATAAGCACGACGAATCTGCATGCAGAGTCCTGTCGACCAGCCATGGCAGACTGTCTGAGCATCCCACATGTTGCAGAACTGTGAGTCTACTGACTATTCATGTGCTGCGCTTGTAAACTCAATGGAAGCACGCAGCTCAGGACCGCTGGTTAGTGGGACGGTGTGCTGTGTCAATGCAAGAGATCCCTGACATCATTGAGATTCTAGCTGTTGGCGTACCAATTCAATTGGGTGTTGTATGGTGTGCTAGTCATGCAAGTTTGTACGGTCGTTGATGATCAGATCATGCTAGAGGCCGTCATTCTAATTGGAATTCACAGACACATATCATCAAGTGTCATTTAGAGATCATGTCGCCATAAAATGTCTCGTCTATGGTTTATTTGCTCTAGAAACTGTGCGGACGATACTCCTCACCCACGACTCGTTCCAACAACTGGCGCTGAATTGGGGAAGCCTGGAAGGCCTGTACACGCTCAATTATCTGTGGTTGGATGTTCCGATCTTCATTGGAATAAGTACACACCGGCTTTGGTCCGTCTGGAATCATCCGCTTACATGCCGATGCAGGCAGCGTCTGTATTCAGTGCTTCTATGCGTGGCACATATACATCCTCGGACAATCCAAAGCGTTGAGCATTTTGATCCTGTTGGTAAGTCCCATGGACTACAGCATCACACCTCTGGTGCCACGATACTTTGATCTGAAGACAGCATCCCAGGTTGCCTTGATGCAATGTGGAGGGGCATTTGCTGAAGGAATCCTCTCCAAGGTCTATTCAAATGTTCCCGGTACACAGATCAATACTCTCAGGAGCTGCACAGTATGCGAAGGCCACTCATGAATGAGAGCAGACTGAACAAGTTTTTATCTGCAGGTTTGGCTGGCAGGAACTTCCACTTGCGATGTCATAATTGCATGTTCGATGGTATACCATGTATGTGTCTATTTCACATGTCTGACACACCGTCTAATCTCCCTCAGCTTTCACGAAAGCGGACAGGATATAAAAGCACGGACATTGTTATAAATAAACTCATCCAACTTGTGATTGAAACTGGTATGGCTACTGGTGTGTGTTCCACGATTGGCAACGTGAACATTTCAGCTTATCACAATGTCAGCTATCATCGCCATCATTGAGCTTTCTCTGTTCCTCCAGTTCAAGCATAATTTCTATCATATTGTGCCTGCGCTCCTGCTCTCGAAGATGTACAGCAACTCATTGCTGGCCCTTCTTAACAATCGGGTGTCTCTCCGGAACCAGGCTTCTAATCCCAATTCATCAATGTCCCCTGCTATCTGGCGTGACAGCAGCGAATGAAATCAAATCCAGGCTAGCGTTGCTCAGGATACCTTTTTGGACAATGTCGCAATGGTCGATCTGGCTCAGACCAAGAGCTACAGAATCGTAAGTGTGAGTTCGAAGTACTTGAATGGTGCTCAAAGCATTTCCGCAGAGTGACGAGGGAGCTAACAGGAAGTCTAAGGTGATCGCAACAGAGTAACTCAGGGTCAGGCTGCCGCTAGGCTGCACCGCCGGAGATTGTTTATGTATATACGCGTTATCTTGAATGTGAACTATATATCTGTATGTATTGTGGTCAAATGTGGTGTCGGTCTTGCTGCGTGCTGTAGCTTGCAATGGAGTCGGATGGACAGAGAGTCTAATAGTCGAGAACCATATGAATAAACGACTCCGTAGATTGCGTGATCTCAAATTCCATCTGCATCTCGCTTCGAGACCATGTTTTGTCATGACGTTGCAGAGGATAACGTAGTCCCTTGCTCGTCAGAGCGACTTCTTTCCTGGTCGAAATGGCCTCTGGGTGATTTCCGGTATTTGGCGATATTCCGAATGACCCAATCGTTCAGATTGCAACACACTAACGGACAGCCTGTCCATACACAAGCATCCACCCTGTTGTGTTTCCCCATGCCTGTGGCTGGACGTGTGCCCTCGTCTTCGTGCTTGTGCCAGCTCCTGCTGACCAGCCATGAGTCGTCTCCGCCTGTTGGTCCTCTTTTTCGTCACTGTCCTCGTGCCGCCGTGGTGTTCGTTCGTGCGCTACTAGTATTCTCTCTCGTGTAGCCGTCCTGTCTGTATTTTATACGACTATCCATGATCACCGCTGTGATCGCTTTATTTGTTGCAAGACTGACTGTCCCGCTTGCGACTTGCGCGAGGCCGAATTCGCACCCGCATTCCTGTAACCATCAGTTGCGCCCGTCGTCCATTGAAGGGGATGTCTGTCTCTGTTCCAACCTTTTCGCTACATGAGAGCTATCATCCCTACGTCCCGTGTTCACTCGTGACACCCGCCTACTGTTAAGGCTCCAACATTTCTATCTATTTACTATGTTACATAGTTTTAACTGTTTACTATATCTGTTTATTTACAGTTGGGCCTGTACATAGTAAATAGATGTATATATATAGTATAAATAGTTTTATGATGATATAGGGCTATTGAGTGCACAATTGCTAGATTTGACAGCACAACAGTGAGCCAATTGAAAGTTATAGTGTTTAACAGCAGTCACCACTGACAGTTTATCATCATATAGGCTCATGAACATGAGTTTCTTGTCATTTCTTGTATGACATAAGATTTTCTGGTCATTTCTAGTGCAAGTGTTGACATTGAATGCTTGTTTTCTGCTCACTGTCATGTGCTTGCTGATGCAAACAGGTCCTTAAAGGCCTCAACAATCACAGAGGCTGCTCACAGTTGAGTAAAACTCCATCAAAAGATGGGACCAAAAAAACTATATAAACTTTATATAAACTGTTTATATGACATATAGATAACTGTTTACTATATACTATATATTTACACCTCAGGAGTGTAAATAGTATAAATAGTTGGAGCCTTACCTACTGTACTGCTGCTTGTGAACCGTTGTACATATACTGTTATGAATTGAAAAATATTCACCCTACCGTTCTAGTACGTGTCCGGAGCTTTGTACATACCTTTCCTACTAGAGCATAACTCATCCAGTCTCCGCTGTGTCTCGCATGCAAACATCTTCGCAGGTTATTTGGACCAGGCGTGCCATGGATGCAGCGCCGACACACACGAGTTACAGTGTCACGCAACACGGCATCCAACTTGAACGGAACAAGGGACTCATCTGCCGCTGCCGCCGCTTCTCGAGTCTAGATCTGCATTTCCTAAGTATCGAGTCTCTTCTGAATTCCGCCATCATGCCACAAGCTTATGGCCTAGCGTGTGCCCAGTGTTTGAAATCAGAAGAGATCGAATCTCCGACACTCAGCTCAGCGCTCAGCGCTCAGCCCATGCGCTTCGATCTGATCAGTTTCCAGACAGGTACAGAAATATTAATAGCTATTTAGCCACCAGCAACAGGCTTCCGCATGTTATCGATATCGATATGATACTCCCGGCGCCTACAACCTTAGACTCTGATCTGCTTTGCCAAACACACTTCACAACCTTACACCACCTTGTATGACAGGCACCGAACTGGCACGAGCCAAGGCCAAGGTGCTTATGCAGATGTAAGTGTCCGACCTGCAGGAGGTGCAGCAATGGCCAGAGTTTCATTTGCGATTGCTGTCTTACTGACCTCCATCATATATCCTCAAAGTCAGAGTGCCGGTACGTTAAGGCTAAAGCAAATGATCATAGGCTTGCTTTTTCTGCTTTCTGTCTACCTTTGGGGGGTCCTCTCGGTCAGTGATGCAGGACCATCGAAGGTCAAAGGTCTGATATACTGTGCCAATAGAATTATGACCTCTAGTCTCCCAGCAACTTAAGGTTGTCTCACAGAATGTCAAGGCTTCGAAGCTTGAAGTTGGAGGGAGCCGAGAAGCTTAAAATTGCTGTTGATGCCAGGAGACTAGCAGAACTCAGAGACTATGTCACCTCGAATGGGAAATATGAGGAAGCAACGAAGCAAGAATGAATGGAAGACTCGGAGATGCCATTCAACTGCTTCGAGATGGAAGCAACTGGTTCGCAACTCGCGGCGACGGCTCTCCTGATATTGTCCATGCTTCAGATATCAAGAAGCATGCAAATTTCATATGCGATGAGCGATAGAACCGGAGATTGGAGCAGCATCTGTAGAGCGGCACATACATTACATGGAGCCTTTCGTGTTGATGGGCTTTTATAGGATGCTATATAGCTTCTGTTCCTCGTCGGTCACTCTCAAGACTTGCGAGGATTTCTACACGTGCACACACACACAGACACGTACACATACAGAGCAAGCCGTCTTCATTTCCACATGACTACCGACATTTTCCAGGTTTCGGGAAAGGCGTTTGACTATATCATAGTCGGTAAGTAGTCCCCGTCGAGCCTCATTTCTCTCATTGACAATGTCACAGGTGGCGGAGTCAGTGTTGCTCCCTTGAATCATGTTTCAGATCGTGCCTCACGGAGATATATCAGACTGCAGGCCTCGCATTGGTGAATCGGCTCTCGGAAGACCCCTCTGTATCTGTCCTCGTACTGGAGGCAGGGAATGCAAACCTAGACGATCAAGTAAATCGTGCACCACATTTTCGTAAGGGATCGATTGCATGCACTCACTGGTTTGTCGCAGTGCTTCCGATGCAGAGGATGGCTCAATTGAATAATCCCAAGTATGATTGGGCATATAAGACGGTAGCACCGAATCGACGCGACTATTCATTCAGGATCATTGATTTTTTTTTTCACTGTTTCCAGGTTCCTCAAGCGCATTCAAACAATCGTGAATATGTATGGCCTCGGTGCGTTTGAATTCGTTTGCCGGACCAATAGAGGGCGTCGCTAATCATGATTCATCGTGTAGTGGGAAGGGTCTAGGCGGAAGCTCAGCAATCAATTTCTTGGTGTGGAACAAACCTGCCCGAGAGTACTTAGAAGGTGAATTGTTTGCCGCCAAGATAATCACAATGTCTGATATTTCAACGTAAGCATTCAATGAGCTTGGTAACGAGGGCTGGAACTGGGAGAGGTTCGAGAAGTATTCTAAGAAATCCGAGAAGTAAGTACAATTGACCTCTTTACTATTCGTATCCTTGAGATAGTGCGTCATAGGTTCACGAAGCCAAACCATGATCTGGATGTTTTGTCGTTCGAGATGGAGCACCGAGGCAACTCCGGTGCTGTTGAGGTCTCCTTTCCTCCTGTGATTTCTGGTGTCGAGAGACCATTTCTGGCAGTAAGCATCGAGCTCTGATCATCTATGACTTACCACTAATTTATCATAGGCAATGACGAAGAACGGCGTTGCTCGTGTCCTAGACTTCGTAAGTGGGTCAAATTTCTCGTCGATCTGGTTCTAATGCTTGACACTTTCCAGTCTTCTGGATATGTACGTTTTTCTTCTGTATAGTTTTGTCCGTATCTCACTTTTTCATTCAGACAAGCGGTACATCCGCCACGGCCACGACTGTAGACCCGAAGACTCATTTCCGTGCCTACTCCGCTAATGTATGTGTGTCCTCAGCTATACGATACTGCATATCTCATGGCAATTGGTAGATGTACTATCAACCGGTGTCGTCTAGGAACAATTTGACAGTCATAGTTTCAGCACACGTTACGCGCATTGAGACCAAAGCGAACGTGGATGGTACTGTGACAGCGACCGCGGTTCATTTTCTCCATGGCAATACCTCCCACAAAGCCTTACCTAACCGAGAGATGTGCCTATCTGCTGGGTATGTGTTTCGTCGAATGTCTACATATGTAGGCTGACTACCTACAAAAGTGCCATTGCGTCGCCGCAGGTACGATATTGATATTTTCCGTGAATTACTGGCAAAATGGCTTTACCTTTCATAGATCTTGGAGCTCTCGGGTATCGGAGATCGTGCCGTTCTAGAGAAGGTAGGAGTCGACGTCAAGTTGAATCTGCCCAGCGTTGGTGCGAACGTGCAAGAACATTTGTGGAGTGGGCTCATCTACGGTAGGGGCTTTGATCTTATCCAGACCATTGCTAATGGGCTTCACGCATCTACAGAAGTTGGGAAACGCGAGATTGACGGACATGAAGTAAACACATTGGATCCCCTCTTTTTTCCAGATGAGGCTGCGAAGCACGCCGCCTTGTAGTGCGTCTCCGTGTTCAGTCGATCTAAATTTATGTGGCTAATGCTTGATGGCTAGCCCTGAGGGGAAGGGTCTGCTGAACTGCAACACAGCCAGCTTGACCTTCTTACCTTTGAGCGCGATCTCCTCCGAAGGAGCCAAGATTCAAGATAAATTGGCCGAAACAATTGTCAAGAACATTGAAGCCAAAGCATACCCAAGCGGCCTTCAGAAGCAGTACGAGTTGCAGCTCAAACACTTGAAGCAAAAGGTTCCCAGTCTCGAGGTGATGCTTGCTCCGGGCCCTATAGCTCTTCCGCGTACGTTATGCTTCATCATCAATCTAGTCAAATCCTAAACCTTACTTCAGCGACTTTGGCTGTCGATAAGAAACATGTGACATTGTGCTTTGCGCTGAACAACCCATTCTCGCGTGGAACCATAGTTCGTTTCTTCTTTGCTCTAGCGTATGGTACTAGAATTGTTTCTCGTCCAGCATATCGATTGCAAAGATCCGTTGGCCTACCCTCGTATTGATCCCCATGTTCTTGAGGAATCGTATGGTGCGTCTTCTGGTATGAGTGTATCATTAAATGTTAATCATGCCTGCTAGATCTGCTGACGATGGTCGAGCTCGTCAAATTTGTTCGGAAGCTCGCGCAAACTGAGCCGCTGAAGAGTGCACTAGCCGATACTGTGAACTGCCATGACAGATTGTCTTCGCGCTTGCTAATTCAATATAGAGGAAGTTGTCCCTGGGAAAAAGGTTGAGAATGACGACCAGATTGCTGGTATATTATTTTGTCAACTATCAATTTCGCGACGCTGACCATATGGGGTAGAGTGGCTTCGCGGCATCGTTGACTCGATTAATCGTAAGTGTTACCACTGAACGGTACTATAGCTTCGGAACGGTCCTGTCTCATGCTATCTTACGACAGACACCGTTGGCTCCTGCTCCATGTTACCACTCGCCGATGGTGGGGTGGTAGACTCGAAGCTGAAGGTATGCATGAAGCATACCGGCCTTATCTTGTGACTGACGGTCCGTGGAATCTCAAGGTATACCATACCACGAATATCCGAGTGGTTGATATATCAGTGGTACCGCTACACATCGGGAGTCACACGCAAGGTAAGATCTCGCATAAACATGCGTCGTTGGTGTTGACTGGACGTCCACGCAGCCTTGGCCTATGCTTTAGCAGAACAAGGTAAGGTTTGATTGTCCATTTTATGAACTTGGTTGACGAAGATCGAACAGCTGCCGATATCATCAAGGGCCAAATTTAACTCATGCACAAATACCTATCATCATTCTGCTGGTCATCCCGTGCTATATGCTTTGTCCATTGGTCAGTTTGAGCTCGTGTACAGTAGTATCTCCGAGGATCTATACAAATGAGTGTTTGTCACTACGAGTACCCTTTGCGTCGGCAGTGACCGAAACAAGAACGGTTAAAGAAAGAGTTGCACAATTAAAACCTGGCTATCTCGAACATCGCACCTGGGATATCCGTAAACATACTTAAAACGGATGGCGCAGTGTGCCATAAGCAGCAAGTGGCATCGCATATCATGGCCTTTCTCGCATTTGTGTTCGTACTACGGCAGGCCTTGGAAGACACCAGTTCGCAAAAGCAACGGCAGGTCCTCAAAGGAAAAGGCAGGAGATGGCCACGCCGTATGTCGCCAATTGATATTTTATCCTGAATGGACTGAACGTAGAGTAAACTGCGACGAGACAGTGGAGTCTAGGTTCAGATTCGGCGGTGTGGCGTTTGTTTCCGGACAGCGCCGCTCGATGCCGAGATGCCGATTATTGTGTGGCCTGGTGGGCGTCGTTTGGCTCTGGAAAGCCGAGATCGGGATTTGAGATCCGCACTGGACGACCGGCACTTCACCAACGTTTCGAGTGCTTTAACAAGAACAAATCCGACCACATGATTGAGCCCATCCCTTATGCTCAGACCGTCGCGATCTCGAGACGTCCCCCCAAGGAGGTCGTCCAGCAGTCGCCGCCAGCCTGAGCGGCCGAGCCTGCTAGAAAAGCAGGCGCGCATCAAAGCGATGACGCTGTCATTTAGAGCCCCCAGTGAGATGGCTGCCGATAATCCTAAAGTAACAACCATAGAGCATCATACCATAGCTCGTTATGGAGCACCTTTTTCTCTTGGCAAGTTCAATGCCCCTACGCCGCTGGAAATGTTTTATGCCTGGTGCAACATGATCAAATGGGACCGCCAAGAGCTTTGAATGCAAGCTAGCGAGCGAGCAGCGGGTGTCCCGGTACGGCTGTCTTACTCAAGGACCCGCCTGTGCCGATGAATCACGGTGCATCGTTTAAATATCTCCAGTGATGCTATATATATTGATGGTCTGATGCGAGCACGATCATTAGAGCAATACATCTGATGGAAGCATGGCCGGATCCTTGGACATTGGCAGGATTACTGCATAAAGAGATGCCTCATGAACGTCTCACAATCGGCCCGATGGCACGAAGAATAGTAACGTAACACAGCCGCACCGCGTCCGTCGCACTATTGAAGTAGCAGTGACAAACTTGACACGCGAAACTATTGCAATTGTATCGGACGAACGAGTTCGCCTTCAACGACGTTCTATGTAACGTGTATTGACTCGTGTAACGGTACTGAAATCAGTGACTAGCCCTCCTAACACTCCAAATTCCAGTCCGTATATTTTAGCCTCAGCCGCCTCACAGACCCCCGAAAAAAATCCGTTTCTTTGCAAACCACCAACGTAACGCTAAGCAAGTGAGCCACCATGTCCATGTGCAAAGGATAACAACACATCGAACGCAAAGCTAGGGAGGAGGGGGATAAACATGTCTACGGTATGTATGTACGGTATGCGAATGCCAAGTGTAGTAGCTAGCTATAGCACAACAGTCCAAATGTAGTAGTATCGAGCAAGAAAACCGACGAGAAACCGAGATCGAGGTCGACATTGTACCGAACCACAACCACAAAAACCCGACACTATCCGCCCTTCAATTTCAATCCAAAAACACGTATATATATACCAGCACCATCACCGCGACCCCCTCTCCGGAACCCCAATCCCCAATCCCACACGCGCCATCTCGCCAGGATCCGACCCCGCACGCTGCACCCCCACCACGGGCACCCCCGCTTCACTAACCCGCGTCTTTGGGGCCCCACCCTCACTCACAGGCTCG